CAAGGTTCCTGGCCCCAGTCTTTCTGAATAGGATGATGAAATCTGTATTTCTAAAGAGCTGATTTCTGCTTGGGGCAGGGAGAGGGGGTTGGTTTCTGGGGGCTGGTTTCTGTCTAAGATTTTCTATTATTCTTTTGGAGATATATAATATTCTGTCTTTTTTAATGTCCCCCAAAATATTTCCTTCTCTAGGAAGAGGCGGTGCTGACTTCTTACAATACTATTTTACATGCTTCTTGGAGAGTATTCTGTGAAATATGCCTTCTCCTGTCCCTGTCTGCTGACTACTTACAGAACGACACTGGAGTGATTTCAGGTGCTAATGTGGATCTGCCCCAATATATCTAGGATTAATGAAGGAAAGCAATGAGCTTCCAACTGCAGACTCACTAATTTCTCAGAATGTACAAGTAAACACCTTCTGGATTTTACCCTCTCCCCCTGAATCTCCAAGTTCTGTACGGACATGTCCATGACCTTTTCCCAATAACAAATTACTGGTTTAAACTATTTTCTCATTTTTATTATGCTATTTCTATTGTAAAGGCTGGTCAAAGACCATAATAAAAAAACAATATTTTATTTGACATGTCTATGATATGATCAGAAGTGCAGTTCAACTTCACCTTGGATATCCTTCTTTCAAAGTAAATGTATGCATAAACCTCAGCTGAATTTTCTCAGAAGGTAACTTTCCATGAAAAGTTTTTAAAATGGTGATTTCAAAAACACCACAAACTAGATGGGATAATTTGTGAGTTCACCTTCTGATCAATACATATAGCACATGCTCTGAGGCTTAAAGCTTTCCTTTCCCAACCTAATGTTTTCCAGATACATTCAGATTACAACTTTTGAAATTCCTAGTACTGTTCACTGTTGCCCAATTTATTGCTTTTTAAGGGAAAAAATTGCTGGTTATGAAGACCCAAGCACGTGGGAGAATCAGCTATGAGCTGAGCCAGGAGGAACCTGTTCTGGAGCACGTAACTCTATTCAGTTGCTAATTGCACTTGAGAGAGGATGGGAGGAAAGGAGGCAACCAACTAGACACAATTTAATAAGCACTCCAGAAGTGGTGGAGTCTGTCCTCACCAGGACAACGGAGGACTGTTCTACGCAGCTCACTTCAACAGAAAGAATAGGTTTAGTGATTGCTACACTCAGAGCACATGACCGATACCAGGACAGATGGAAGATACTTGGCCTCAAGCCAACATGTAGCCTGACTGTAGTTTAACTCTTCACCAGTCTTCAAGCACAGCAGGTCTGATAGGGAACAATGGTGTGTGAAATCTGAAAGGCACACAGGTCTCTGGATCTGTTGCGTGAGGAAGTTCCCTACCTTCCATGTTTTCTTCTCTATCTTCTGTGAGGTTTGTGACAGGATCTTAATCATACCAAAGAGCAAAGAGCTATTCTCCAGGTTGTGGATGGCTTTTCTTATTTTGACCTGTGAATCAGATAGCAACTAAACAAGAACAACAGAATGAGTCTGAAGATTAATAATTAGTAGTTCTGCAGTGAGGTATTGTAGTTGTTTGGGTTCCAGATATCTATTATCACTTATTATTTGTTAATGTCACAATTCCGTGGTAAAAATAAAATGGATGTATCAAGTGGGGAAAACATGTACACTATGGAATCTCTTGGTTGCACAGAATAGATGTAGAAGTCACATTCACATGTTCAGAGGCAATGCTTTATCACTATTATCTTAATTAGGTTCACACCACACAAAAGAATCAGGTTAACAAACCATAAGTGCTGCATTCACATGGCTCATGATGCAAACAAATTGTAGTTTAACAGGATTGCTTGGCTAACAGAAGATGCTAAGGGGATGGCTAAATTTCCACAAAATACCGAATTGTAAATTATCTAATTTTTCATTTTAACCTAGTTTAGCAGGTTGTGTGAACCAGGCAAGTTCTACTGTATAAACTTTCTACAGCAGGATGTTTTAGGAGGACATGGTAAAGTTTTGCTCTGGAAGGAGCTAGTGAGTTACAGAGAGACTAAAAAGTATTATACAGTATATCAATCAGCTTCCATAGTTCCACAATATAAATTGGGCCAGTATAATGTGTGAAAATTTAATGCACTGCAAAACAGCTGATTTATGAAAATGAGCAAATAATCATTTTATAGGACAGGAGAAGAAATATGTGTTTATTCTTTCTCATAGTTTCAGCCTCCAAAGACTGCAGAGGACATTGCACTATAACTTTAAATTTAAAAAGGAGTATTAAACCCAATACCGTGTTTATTGCTACGATCACGGGAGGTCATGAAGCAAAAAAAAAAAAAAGCAAGGTGCCTGCACGTGACTTATGAGCTTCAGACTACTGAGGAAGGTAACTCCATAGCTGGATTAGACAGAAATCTAACTACTTTAATACCGTCCTTACAATGTGTATAAGCCAACCAAATCCTTCCAATAAACTTGTAAATACAAATACATTCTCACTACACAAGTAGTTCCATTCCAAGTCAGAATTGTTCTAAGATGCTTCTTTGATTTCCCAGTCTAATTTGTGCTTTAAGACAGAGGTCCCAAACCCACAGTCAGTGGACTAGCAGTCGGCAGCATGCCAGAAACCAGTCCGTGCAAACAAGTGAAGCCCCATCTGCTGGATGCAGGCAACATGCAAAACATGTAAAACCAACTCCCCTCCGGTCCACAGAAAAACCTCTCTCCACGGAACTGGTCCTGGTGCCCAAAAGGTTGGGGGCCACTGCTCTAAGATTTTCTGGTGGTCTCCAATTCTAATACTAATCAAGCCTTATCTTGCTTAGCTCAGGCAATAACTGGATGTGTGCTGCCACCTGCTGAGACAATCTCTTACTATTTCCAGTTTGTAACTCCCTCCTGAATTAAAAGGGGGAATTAAAAATGAAAATTAGGATTACCACACCCTTAAAACAGTACAAAATTGTAGCTTTAGTTTGTCCTATAGGTGCTACATGAAAATGGTAACACAGAGAATCCTGCTTCTTTGACAAGTATATTTTATTTGTGAAATAAGAAGCAATAGCTATTAGCTATTTCTTTCTTTGAGAAAGAAAGTCAGTTTAATTCCATATATTACTGTCCACAGTTTTGTTTATAGGAAGTCAGAAGCAGAAAGAAGTTTCTATTCTTTCCCTCATGCAGGAAATGGCTAATGATTAAAATAAAGGGGCCTTTTGCTTGCCTGAAAGCTATTAATATTTATTATACTACTAATCCAGTCAATAACTAAAATCCTCTGGATGAACTAAATGTTAGTAAAAACATTTTTGTATTTTATAGATATTAAATAAACACACAGCAAATAGCATCACAGACAGCTTAAAGCTTATATTCATTTTTATGGAAGTGGATTGGTCTTGCAATGCTGAATAAAACGCTCAATAATCAAATGATTTCCTTTACAGAGTATCTTTTTTAGAGATAACGGAGAATGGCAAAGGGAAGAGTTTCGAACAATCATATTTGATTTTTCCCTATTTCCCTAGAACAATGGTTTTCATACATTTTGGTTTTAGTATTAAATGGAATTTTAGACTTCATTATTAACCTTCTAATAAAGGTGCTATTAGCATTTTAGCATGGCATCCATATATCTTTTTGAAGTTCAGGAAAACATGTTTTCCTTTTAACCAAAGTCATTTCTTCTTTTGATAGCAAGAATCAACCTTTTCAGCAACTAAACAATAGGGAGCATTCTGGAAATCCTTGAATACAGACACTCCTTGACTTACAACTGTAATTGAGCCCAGGAATATGATTGTTAAGTCACTATAGTTGTAAGTCAACATGACCAAAAGTAATCTTCCAAACATTTTTGCAGTAGTTGTTGAGGAAAGTTGTTGTGGTGGTCATTAAGCAAACATTGCAATTGTTAAATAAACACGGTAGTTGTTAAGTGATCCAAGTCATTGAATGGGTATATTTTGGAGGAAATGGCAAAAAACATCACAAATTGTGTTCACATGACCGTGCCACAATCAGCCATAAAACTGACCTGCCTGATATGCACGCATAAAATGTCAGAACTACCTGTATACATGTAACTATATTAAGAAAAATACCAATTGGACTGGAAGGGGGTGTCAAAATTCATAAATTTACCATTTAGGGAAATAGGATCAATGTTTTCTATTGTTTAATACTCGTGTTTAATAAATGTCTGTTTTATTTGTTGCTTTCTGACACATCACATATAACAAATGTAATATTTGTTTCTATACCCTATAAAAAGATTTGCTAACCCCTCCCCCACGTAGATGCTTTTTTTTTTTTGCCTGAATTACTTGGTGATTTGTTATTTTCGGATGGGTAAAAAAACCCACCTTTGCAGAGATAAAAGTGTTTTTCTCTCCCAAATTTAGGAAACAGAACTTTGACTCCACGTAAACTTGTTGCCTGAGTTTCTAGGCAACAGAACATTTCACATTCTTAGAAATGATTGAGAACCCAAAAAGCTTTGGTATATGTGGGTTATAGCTATTGATATATACTGGATTAGAAATTAAAACTAAGAAATTTAAAATATTTGACTTTGTGGGCCACTTGAAGAGGTCACAGAGACATCTAGGCGTCCACAGGCCACATCTTGGGAACCCCTGCCCTAGAAACAACCTGACTGAACTTATCTCAAAAAGGTTACTTCTCAGATGGGAGACTTCCTAGGAATATTGGGGATACAAATGAGATTAGTGTATCTTGTGGAATAGACCAATGGCATTGCACTTCAGGATCGCAGATATATTTGCCTGCAGTCAACAGGCGTGGGATTCAGTTTCCAGGAGACTTTATGACTTCTGGGGAATATTTTTTTTACTAAAAAAAACATTGATCGCCATCAATCATAACGTTTTCCTGGTTATTTGATATGTATTTTTTTAAAATAATATTTTCAATATTTTATCACAATATAATATTTTATTCAATATTATATAAAAGTATTATTTGAAAAAAAAGAGTTTTGTGTAATTCCGAAACTTGGCTTTACTAGCAACCAAACATGAATAAAGGCATTCGTCACTCCCTCTGGTGACAGACAAATTCCAGTGGGCGTGTCCAACAAAGCCGGAAGGGGCAAGACATTCGAATTACTTTCTTCTATGGCACGGTTGGGGAACTATGGCCCTTTTATGATTTGTGGACTTCAATTCCCAGAATTCCTGAGCCAGTTTCTCACCCCTATTCTATGGCATCGGACACCTTAGCAACCGACCCGGCAGTAGATCTGTGGCTACGTTCTAATTTTAGTCTCTATGTCACCTTGGTGACAGCTACGCCCGGCCAATGATGCTTCGTGCTCTTGGCTTTCCGCGTTCTCCTTTTCGCTGGGCGCGGGCCCAGACACTCCGATGCCGCCTCGCTATCACAGCCCGGGAAAAAAAGGGTCTCGCCAGCCGCGCCATAGTGTAAGAACTCGGGAAGGGGGTGGAACTTGAAAAGAATAGAGCGAACCTCCTGGTTCATGAAGCCTCCATGTTCCCGGTTGTGTCAGGATAATTGACCGGATGTAGTCATAGAGATGGAAAGGACAGGTTGTAAATATACAATAAAATGATGGCGTCTCAATAGCCCCCCCCCTTTTTGGCGGTCAGCTGCGATGGGGCCGCAAAAATGGTCTATTTCCTGTCTGAAATACCTGTACAATGTACAGTGGTTACCAGTTTGGTTGTAAAAACCCATAAGACCACTAGATGGCAGCATATAAATGCAGAATATTTTCAGATGATTTTGTTTTTAAAATGCTGCTATTTATTGATTCCTTTGAAATGGATTTATGTTGCTAGTAAGCTGCCTCAGAGACTCCTGAGGGGAAAAGATACAGCATCAATAATCAAAAGCTTATTTATGGTCTACTTATTCTACTTTACTGGTCCTTATAGAAGCTTCCAGATTTTGCAAGGAAAACCACAAGCAGACCTCAAGTAAAATTACTCTTTTTTACAATAGCTCACTTCCTTCTAGAATCTTCCTGGAGATTCTTTTTAACTAATAGTCATTCATAAATCTGTCCTTACATTAATTTGTCTTTATAAACCTTGCAAACATTGCTACTAGTCTTAGCTGAAACAATTAAGGCCGTGGAATGGCAGCAAGGAGGGTTTTTACATATCTGTGTTACTATTTGCCACTTTGTGGTCATCCACATTTTTGCAATCTGGGTCTGCTAGCCTAACCATCAACTTGATCATGGCTTTTGTTTTATTTATAGGCCAGTGCCTCTATCCTATGCCATTTTTGATGGACCATCATCAGATCCTCCACTTGTTTTCTTGCATGGGCTGTTTGGAAGCAAATCCAATTTTTCATCCCTCGTAAAAAAGTTAGTGCTCCAAACTGGTCGCAAGGTGGGTAAAAAATGGAGTATGGTCAGCCAGGGAGGGGGTTCTTACTGGTTTGCAAGTCAGTTGCTGCCAAAAATGAGGAGCCATTTTTATATTGTAGCCAGAAGTTCTTTTGCAGGATTTTGTAACAGAACATTCTAAAATACTTGTCAATCTGTCTCAGGAGATCCATAGCTTTTTATGTTTTTTTATGCAGCTCTAAATTCAACACAACAGAAAGTCTTTGTTCTTTTTAATGTCTCTTGCTGCAGCTTCATCATGTCACTGTCTCATAAACAATCTTAAAATATTCAGACGTGATTAAGATAGTGTTGCAAAGAAGAACAAGGGAAGTACATGTATATAAGAAAAGGAGGACATTAATTAAAAACAAGGTGTTGAATCACAAGGCACATATAATCATTAACTAAATGAGAAAGTAGAATTGGACTGATCTGAACTAAGAGTCCTCTAGATTTCTCTTATTAGATTTCATGCTCTGACACAACTTAATGAGTACAAAAATATGAGCTTTCCATATTGGAAAGATTACAATTGCTTAATAGTACATAATGCATCAAAACTGAGTCATTCTGGATAGCAAGATGGGTGGCATATAAATGTAATAAATAAAAAGGAATGAAAAGGAAGAAATGCAACTTTAAAAAAATCTCAAATAATTTGTTCTGCTCTTTTACAACACTGAACCTGCAAGTTATTCTGATTTTTATAATGTAATACAACTCTTATGCAATGCCTTTTTTGGGAAGTCTGCAAACTTAGCTAAGATATGATTCAAAATGAGTCCATATTGGGCTGGAATTAAATCCAAAGCTATAAATTAACCACTTCTTTTAAATCTTGGGTGGTTTTCTTCTCTCACCATCTATCTTACATAGTTTTAATATAAATATATTACAACTATGCACAAGAAAGAGAGAAGGAAAGCAAACTTGGAAAATCAACCTATTAAAAGGAGCTAAACTTCCCTTGCATCGAGTGTCAAACTGCCGTCCCACAGGCCGGTTGCATCATGTGGAGGCCACACCTACCCCAGCACCGGCAATGCAAAAAAAGTCATAATATGTTGTGACACGTCACATGACGTGGCAAGTTTTTGACACCTGTGTCCTACATGGTCTGATTTGCGGCTTTGAAGAATTTTTTTGATCCAGAGCTGTTCCTGAATCTCTATGGGATGGAAATAGTAATTAAGCTTTTCTGCAACTTCCTCAATTGTATCTATTGCAACAATTCCTGAGCTGGTCAGACCTGATAATAATCACCTATGTATTGGTGACATTATGTTTAAACTACTAGACTACACAACTGTGTACTAAATGAGGCTACCTTTGAAGAATCTCCAGGTACTGGAAAATTTAACAGCTAGACTGTTCCTTGGTGGATCATAATAATTTCATCATGTCTGTTTGAAATATAGTTCTGGTGATTCTTAAGTAAGTATGGCTTTATCTTTGCCAACCTGCTGGCATCCCTCTTCTCTTGCCCAGATAGGTGCTAACAATAGATGCCCGCAACCATGGGGATAGTTCCCATAGCCCCATCATGACCTATGAAGCAATGAGTGCTGACGTCCATCTCATTCTGAACCAGCTACATCTCAGTAGGTGTGTCTTAATTGGCCACAGCATGGGTGGCAAGACAGCTATGGTATTCGCACTACAATGGGTATGCATTTTTGACTAGTTCTTCTAGTATTTTACTGTTGATATTGGAGTAATATAGCCTATTAGACAAAATGGGAGTTGGTTATTGAGAGAGGAGGAAAAGTAGATGTTTAGCAGATAGAAATATTTTATTACCAGAAATTTGTGTATGGGCATGAAGGAGGAACATAAAGTTTACATCCATGGCAACTCAAAGATTTATATATAATAGATATCAAAAGTTGACTGTCCCTTAGGAAATCCTGTCATATGATATTGTGAACAACAATATAACAGTTTATAGTTTCTATGGATAATGAATGTAAAAATAAATTGATCAGAGAACAAATTGATCTGGGGTTGCCACCTAAAGCACAAATCTGCAGGCTCAAATTATAATATTTGGAATACCGTGTGAAGACCTAGCTCTCTAGATGAGTCTATAATGCTGAGAAAGGTGAGAAGAAAGGAAAGATGATGAGATACACCTTTGGAAAACCTGGAGGGCCAGTTTGGAGAGAAATGACAGCAAATTATCTCATTTTGCATAATTTATGTTTTTACAATTTAAAAAACATATTTTTGTCTGAAGCCACAGCACGCAAAAGATGCTTTAAAATAACATTTCGTCTATTCTTATTTTTAATTAGTTACAAAGTCCTAGACTTACATAGTTGTACAAGTTCAGAACACACAAACAGACAAGAACTGAAGTTCCTCAAAATGTATATGCTATATTTCAAATTAACAAGGACAGCCAACATCTAATTTTCTGGGATGATGAAAATAAAATTTGAAACAATTGCAGAACAGACATGTAGCCAATTTTACAATTTTTAAGTATAATTTCTCCCTATTTTAGTGCCTACAATCAGTTAGAAGAGCATGCTGCAGAATAGGTGTAGCAACTGTTGGTCATGGCTGATTCATTCATTCTCCTCTGGAAGAGGGGGTAGAGGACATAAATTCTAGTCAGATGTAAGGTTATGCATCTTTTTCTTTGAAACTCAATTCCCTTTCTTCTTACAATGTCTATGATGGAAACTGATTCAGTGTATCAGACCACAATTCTTGTCTGTTACACTGAATCTGTCTTAGAATTCTTATTAGAGTCTAGGCTAGGCTACTTATTTTCCAGAAGGCAGGACAAGAAACAAGGGATGGAAACTAATCAAGGAGAGACGCAACTTGGAATTAAGGAGAAACTTCCTAACAGTGAGAACAATAAACTAGTGGAACAGCTTGCCTTCAGACGTTGTGAGTGCTTCATATCACTGGTGATTTTTAAGAAAAGACTGGACAGCCACCTATCTGAAATGGTATAGGGCAGGGGTAGGCAACCTTGGCTCTTTTATGACTCGTGGACTTCAACTCCCAGAATTCCTGAGCCAGCCATGCTGGCTCAGGAATTCTGGGAGTTGAAGTCCACAAGTCATAAAAGAGCCAAGGTAATGCTTACCCCTGGTATAAGGTCTCCTGCTTGAGCAGGGGGTTGGGATGGAAGATCCAAGGTCCCTTCCTGCTCTATTCTGATTAATTGATTGAAATAGGGATTGGTGTGACAGCTCTTTCAGCCAGTGATTTCTATGATCTCCTTTTTCTTTCCCCAAATTTGTTCCTTTGCAGCCAGAACTGGTGGAGCGCTTAGTGTGTGTTGACATCAGTCCTAGCCCAACAAAAGATGTCAGTGGCTTTCAGGATTTCATTGCTGCCATGAAAGCAGTGGATATCCCTAGAGGTATTCCTCGTTCCACTGCACGTCGTATGGCCGAAGAACAACTGCGCCCAACTATCCAGGTAAAGTGTTTTTGTCAGAGTGTTATACATTTCATATCCAAGCTACTTCACCTTTCTGAGGCATGCGAAAGTGTGGAACAAGAAATAGTGCTGAAATATGCTAGTTTGGTATTGTTTTAAATAGAATATATCATTCTTCAGAACTGGGCATGTACAACACGTAAATCAGTTTACCAAATTCAGCTTTATTTGGATGTAGTCACACAAAATGACTGCCCAAGGATTATGTTTCACATTTCAGCCATCATCCCTTTTTTTCTGTAGGAGCCAACTATCCTCTACTTTCTACTTACCAACCTAGTGAATGCTGAGGACCAATTTGTATGGCGCGTGAATCTAGAGGCCATTTCACAACATCTGAAAGACCTCATGAGTTTTCCTGACTTCCAGACATCTTATTTAGGGCCTACTCTCTTTCTTGGGGGTTCCAAATCTGGCTATATTAGGTAAGAGATTTGGAGCTTCATTTAAAATAATATCTGCAGGGTTGCAGTCTGAAATCTTTTTACATTGCATATCAAATAATTCTCAGTAAACAGTAGGCTATAATCTACATGCCCCAAAAGGTAAATTTGTCTTGCTGAGTGTCTGCAGATGATGCTTTTGAACCTAGGCATGATTTAATCTGAATTGTATTTTGCATAGCTAGACCGAAGATAATTTGGAAGTTTAGATCTGGTGGATGTTTCTATCACAGACTTGCTGTTTAACTTTGGTTTCCAGAATGGTCTGCCGTTCTACCTTGCTTTTTAGAATCAGTTGAAATCATAAGGTCCTTTTTCACTAAGTTTCTTTTTACTGCCTTTTAGTTTCTCTCATTCACAAACAACTAGTTACCTATACTTTATATTAGTGGTTCTCAACTTTCCTAATGCTGCGACCCTTTAATACAGTTCCTCATGTTGTGGTGACCCCCAACCCCCCATCCAGCTGGCGGGGGGGGCAGGAAGGCCGCTCCGCCGGCTCCGTCCAGCCTGGTTGGAGAAGCGCCATTCCTCTCCCTCTTTCTCTCTCTCTTTCCTCTCTCTCTCTTCTCATTCTCTCTCTTCTCTCTCTCCCTCTTTCCTCTCTTTCCCTCTTTCCACTTTTTCTTTCATCTCCGTTTCTCTTTCTCTCTTTCCTCTCGCTTTTTCTCTTTCCTCTCTTTCTCTTTCCTCTCTTTCTTTCTGTTTCCTGCCTCTTTCTCTTTCTCTCTTTCCTCTCTCTTTCTCTCTCCTCTCTTTCTCTCTCTCTTTCCTCTTTCTTTTCCTCTGTTTCTCTCTCTTTCCTCTCTCTCTTTCTCTCTCTTATGGCAGTATCGTCGGGGGTCCCCACTGCCCCCGGCCTCTGTGCGTCCTCAGCCAAATGGGTGGGGAGGGGGAGCAGGATGGAGGCAGCGGTTCTGGCGGTGGTGGCAGTGGCCCGGCAGCATCATCAGGGTTCCTCGCCGCCGCCACTGGCCCGGCTGCTGCCCCGCCGTGTCCTCAGCTGAACGGGCAGGGAGGGGAAGTAGGACAGGAGGCAGCAGCGGTGGTAGCACAGCAGCAGCATCGGTGTTCCTCGCCGCCACCCCAGCCCAGCCACCGCCCCGCCGCATCCTCAGCCAAAGGGCAGGGAGGGGGAGCAGGACGGGAGGCAGTGGCTCCGGCAGCAGTGGTAGCGACAGGGCAGCATCGTCGGGGGTCCCTGCCGCCCCCGGCCCGGCCGCCGCCCCCACTGGGACTCCGCGCTGCCCGGCCTCACCCTCCGCCCATCGATGGAGCCGGGGTGGAGGTAGTGGCCGCCCAAGCTGCCTGGGGGGCAGCAGGAGGAAGGAGAGGAGGAGGGCGAGGAAGCAGTCATCCTAGCCGGGACTCCACGCTGCTGGGCCTCACCCTCCGCCCATCCAATGGAGCCACGGTGGGGGCTGGTGCCGCGCGACCCCTGCCAGCCCCTCTGCCAGCTTGGCTGCTCCCCCCAGGTACCCCTCTTGCCCCGGCGCCCGCCCAAGCCACTTTGGGGGCAGCAGGAGGAAGGAGAGGAGGAGGGCGAGGAAGCAGTCACCCTAGCTGGGACTCCGTGCTGCCCGGCCTCGCCCTCCGCCCATCCAGTGGAGCTGCGGTGGGGGCTGGTGCCATGTGGCCCCTGCCAGCCCCTCTGCCAGCCTGGCTGCTCCTCCCCCCAGGTACCCTCTTGCCCCAGCGCCCGCCCAAGCCGCTTTGGGGATAGCAGGAGGAAGAAGGGGAGGAGGAAGAGGATGGCAAGGAAGCCGCCACCAGCGCTGGGCACCAGGAGGCGGCTCTCCTCTCCTACATTTGCTGATTCTTCTTCTTGCTTCCCGGCAGCCTGGATTCCGGTGTGCCTTCCCGGCCAGCAGGTCCAATTGTTGGGCTGGCTTGGGATCGCAGGGGCTGGTCTCCCTTGGGCCGCGGCTTTTGGGAGGGCTGGCCCGCTCAGCGGAGCCTCCAGAGGGCCACTCCAAGCCACAAGGCCCTGGCCGCACTTCTCCCAGGGGATGGGGCACCCGAGTGCAGGGCCAATCAGGAGCCCTGCAGGAGGTAAGTCCTCCTGAGAGAGAGAGAGAGAAGGGAAGCGAAAGTGCCTCTCTGTCTCTCTCTCTCTCTGCAAATGGCGGAGGAGGCCATGCGGAGACGGATGCGGAGCGGTGTCTCGGTTCCTAAGACCATCGGAAATGTGTTTTCCTATGGTCTTAGGCGCCCCCTGTGAAAGGGTCATTCGACCCCCAAAGGGGTCGCGACCCACAGGTTGAAAACCGCTGCTTTATATAGTACAAACAAGTTATTTTATTATCATATTATATTGATTGATATAATTTATAAACACCACAAAGTTGTTACTCCAATTTTTTTCTGTTTCCTTCCCACTTCTGTGTCTACTTTTCTGCAGTTCCAATAACTACTCTGAGATCAAGCGGCTCTTTCCTGATGCTGAAATCCAGCATATTCCCAATGCAGGGCACTGGGTTCATGCGGATCAACCCCAAGAATTCATCACTGCCATTTGCAACTTTCTTGCACTCCATCCACTATAAGATTTCTGAACAGATCTATGCAAACTATCCTCTCAAGATTGGAAGTTTTTGTCATTGGACTTAGTGTTGTATGTGGCTCATGGTCTGATTTCAAAAGCTCCATGCGAGTGATCCATTCAGCGTTTGATCAAATTGTCAGTTCCTTCCCTGATGATCTGCTTCTTGGAAGACTTAGAAGTGGGCGTCAGTCAGAGAATGAGAGACAAGAAAGATGTTAGAAAACAGAAGTGTCATAAAGCAAAACTGAGAAGTCTTATCCACTTTCGGCTCTGGCTCAACCAACCATTTGCTCCAGTTATTATTATATTATTATTATTATTATTTTGGAAGGGACCTTGGAGGTCATCAAGTCCAACCCCCTGCTCTATAATCAAGTTCTGCCTATCATTCAATGCAGACTCCACTTAATGGAACATGCCCTCATAGCATATTATAAATGTGATAATCCACTTGTGGTTAACAGGGAACTCTGGTCTATGTATGTATATTTATTTATTTATTTAATAACCCTACCAAAAAACCCAAATATTGGCAAACACCACACTGACAATTCATTGCTCCAGATGAGATATAAATTTCACCCTCCAGTGTTTCTTAATTGTTCAGATAGCCCCAGTCCATAATTCTTGATAACACTAGATCTATAATCAAGAAGGATACATGCTGTTTTAGACAACCTGTATAATAATAAAACTTTTGTTCCTGTAACGTTTAACTGGGCAAAATAATACATCATACAGCAACCATTTTTGAACCAAGGAACTCAAATGGGCTAACTTGCAAAATTCATCCAAAATCCAGGACCTGTGACTCCCATGGAATTGAAATATGGTAAATTTTATAAAACATTTTATGACATAAAATTATCATAAACCAGTTCAGAACATACAAGTAGTCCTCTACTTACAACCATTTAGTGACATTTCAAAGTTACAACAGCACTGAAAAAAGTAGCTTGTTTTTCACACTTATGATCATTGCAGCATTCCCATAGTCACGTGATCAAAATTCAGACGCTTGGTAACTGATTCATATTTATGACAGTTGCAGTGTCCTGGGGCCATGCAGTGGTGGAATTCAGCTGGTTCGCACCACTTCGGCAGAATCGGTAGCTAATTTTTTGTTGCCCAGGCCCAGATTGGACTTCCAGAAGCAGCATCCACACAGAGAACCGGTTGTTCACATATTTGTATCCCACCTCTGGCATCATACGATTATCTTTTGTGATCTTCTGGCAAGTAAAGTCAATGGGGAAGCCAGATTCACTTTACAAGGGTGTTACTAACTTAACAACTGCAGTCATTCATTTAACAACTGCGGCCAGTAAGGTAGTAAAATGAGGCAAAACTCAACTGTCTTGCTTAGCAATGGAAATTTTGGGATCAATTGTGGTCATAAGTTGAGGACTATCTGTAATATGTCATAAAACATTTCCTATGCTGATGTTTGACTATAGAGCAGTGGTTCTCAACCTGTGGGTCGGGACCCCATTTGGGGTCGAACAACCATTTCACGGGGGTCGCCAAACAACGCAGTCTGCCATTTTTTCCCCCCTTTTCCTTAGCTGTGCTACTCCCTTTTATTCTATTGGCTTTTGAAAGCCAATAGAATAGACTCTCTTGAATAGAGTCTAATTCTATTGGCTTTCAAAAGCCAATAGGAATTGTCCAGGCTGTCTCTGCCCTGCTGAGCCCGCCAAAAGTCCCATTCTGCAAACGGTGCTGCACCAGTTGAGTAGTCCTCGACTTACGACCGGTTGAGTAGTCCTCGACTTACGACCGGTTGGGGGTCGCGGCATTAAAAAGGTTGAGAACCACTGCTATAGAGTTTAATGTGGACTATTTTCAAGGCCAATACATCTCTGAAAGTATTTCCAGTGAAGACAGTATATTAGAAGTTTTGTTACTGTTGAAGACGTAATGAATTTGCGATGGAAATATCTCTGAAAGGATGACCCAATGGGCCACAGGTTGTCTAGTTCTTCTTTAAAAGTGATTGATCCAAAGTAGTAACAATCCAGTCATAATCAACTCTTTAGGCTGCTGCTGATCCTTGAAGGTGAAAGAAAGAAAACATAAGTTTCAGCTATATATTTGTGCTATTGTTTGGATTATTTAGCAGGCCTTTAAACATGAATTATTTGCTTAATGCCTATTTTTCTGCTTATTATAATTGAAGACCACTTTTAAAAGGAGAGATTTAAATGAATCCATGGCAAGGAGTTTGTGAGCATTTTGCCTACTTAGTATTTGTGATAGTGACAATATTTGATAACGTGACAACATATTTGTGAATTGTTATTCTGTTACATGACTCCTGCCGTCTCCTGTCCTTGATAGTACCTATCTTCTGTAGTCTTTTCCAGCAATTTGCAGATTGCCCAACATTTTTAGTAGAATGGACTGGTCCAATGTAAGGTGAAAAAACGTTTCCCATCTTAGTCTTGGCAACCATCAAGGCTGCCTTTAAATGGCTCCATGCATTTTGCAGAATTATTGTTAATGTTATTTATTACTAGATCTTTTTCCTGCCTTTTTTACAAGTCACTCAATGTGGCAAACATAGATTATACAGGTGGTCCTCAACTTAGGTTAGTGACCATTCAAACTTACAACAGACCCTGAAAATGGGACCTGGTTTTGAAATTGTGACATTCCCTCCTGCAGTCACACGACCATATTTTGGGCAATTGGCCCACATTTACAGCTATTGACAGCTTTCCATGGTTACATGACTGCAATTTATGTTTTTCCCACAAGTCTGCATTTCATCAGATTTCCAACAAAAAAACATCCCATAGTGAACAATGGGTTTTCTTAACGACTGCCACATTCACTTAGTGGTTACCTCAAAAAAGATCATAAAATTGGATGCAGCCATGTGGTGACCCGCTTTACAAACTGTCATGACTTAAGACTGAAGTTATGGGCTCAGTTATGGTCGTAAATTGAGACTACCTATACAGTATTCCTGCCATTTATTTTCCCCAACAAGAACCCTGTGAGTCACCCAGTTGCTTTTCCTGTCTAAGGGAGGCTTAGGACCCACAGTCTCCTGGTTTCTAACCCAGTACCTTCAACACTACACCAAGCTGGCGTGGTGCATAACATCTCTGTCCAATGCAGGGACTCTCACAATTCTTTGCAGACAGTGATTCCTTTACACTTCAACAAGAAGAAAGCAAAAGGGGAAGAATGTGAGCAAATAAACATCTTATTTAGACAGTATCACTCTCTTTAAGAAGTACTTGATGAACTCAGTCCCACAGAACATATCAAAATACTAGAAATCCAGTTTTTCCTGATTTTTTTCAATTTGATTCAAATATTTTAAAAGTAATTGTATTTTTAAAGTATTTTAAAAGGCCTAATGAGTTTGGGATAAGAACCCTATGTTACTCAACTGAAGAGGTGGAGGAGAGTACAGGAAAGAAGTATTTCTCTTTTTGATGTGGCAGTTGTGGAATGCAAAGATTGCAACAAAGCTTTTATCATTTTGTAACCGATTATAGTATTTGCTGAGGAACCAATTAAATAATCTGTTAACATCCTAGCTGTTTTCTCTGTGATATGTAGTTTTATTCATTGTATATATATTTCAAAAAATTACGATTTGTTCACCACTTTGAGAGAAAATTCTTTCGTTTGAATGTCTGTGGAGATTCTCAGTCATCCAGGTCATGCTTTTTCAAAAGCAACTGGACTTTGTCTTTCCTTGAAGATGTTTCATTTGTCATTCAAGAAGTTTCTTCAGTTCTGTTCTTTCATTTGAAGATGTTTATATCTACCTCCCTGGTCTGCAATCTAAAAGAGAGTAGCATAAAAGGAAATGGGAAAAGGGAAGAAGAAAACCACAAACCTCCGGTTCTGACATGGAAATCGGAAAAGCACTGACAAGCCAAATTTTTCAGCAGTGCCAGGAAATGCCTCAGCTTTCTGTGTTTCTTTTCCTGCAGCTTGATGGGACAAATGCTACCAAATAAGGAATCCACTGAGCTGAACATTTCAAACACAGAAAATAGGAGACTGAACCATTTTTAATAAATATTAAACTTGGAGAAAATCGTATCTATGTGATCACAAAGAATTGGAAAACCAATTATGGGCCATACCTTGGCATGCGATAGAGGGAATAAAGAAAGGAGTCAAGATGGATACGGTTTCTTATATACAATTACTTAGATGGGATGGTCAAAATTGGCAGTTAAAATCTTTGGAAGATTTAACACATGAAAATTTTATTTATTCATGGTTTCAATATAGACAAATAGGGGATAGATGGAAGACGGATTGTAATATGGGATGGCTTAGAGAAGATGAAAATCTCATCAAACAAGTAAGGGATCAAAGACCAACCCATATTAAGAGGGTTTATGGGGTTTTAGTGGAAATGGATTCAGAATCTGAATTAATTAAAGATTGTATGATTAAATGGGCACAAAATATCGGTGAATCAATTTCACTGGATACTTGGGAACTTATTTGGGTGAGGAATGTTAAATTCACACAAGCACAGAACTTAAGAGAGAATTTTTATAAAATGTTTTATAGATGGCACCTTGATCCAAAGAAAATGTCCATTATGTACCCTGATCTACAGCCTAAATGTTGGAGATGTGGTTGTTTGGACGCTACTTATTTTCATATTTGGTGGTCGTGTAAAAATATAAAAGCCTTTTGGATTAAGATATGGTGGAATATTCAAAGAATTTTTAGAAGGAGGGTAAAATTTACCCCGCAATTATTTTTATTAGGTATTATTACTGACTGTGATGCTAAGGAAGTTATACTGATGCTAAATTTGATCACAGCCGCTAGGCTGTTAGTTGGACAATATTGGAAGAAGGATTCTTTGCCTACTTTACAAGAGTGGTTTTATAAAGTTTCGTATTTGGCAGAAATGGCAAAGATTACGGCTTTTTTAAAGGAGCAATCTCAAGAGAAATTTTTTGTTGTATGGGAAAAATGGATAAATTTTATTCAACACAATTTGAATATGGAAAAATATTATTTAGCTTTTTCATAATTTGTATTGATTGCTTTTTTTTCTTTTTTTCTTTCGTTTCCGTCTTATGAACTTTTATTTTTTTTTCTTTTTTCCTTCTTCTCTCTCTGTCTTTCCTTTTTCTTTTTTCTCTCTTTTTTAAGTATTTTTTCTTTTTTTTAATGCTTATATCATATATATATTATTATTAATTATTTTATAAGTTGTAAATGTTGTTTAAGTTTTTTTAAAAAAATTTTTTTTAAATAAGCCTATATTCAGTTCTGGGAAGTTCGGGGAGGGGGGAGGGAGGGGTGGGTTTGGGAGGGATTGGGTGAGGGTTGTTGTTTATTTGTAAAACTTTTAAAAAAATTTAATAAAAAAAAAAAGAATTGGAAAACGTTTTGATGGCACATAAACATTCAAAGCAATCCATAATTCTGAAGGACAAAACGTACTTTGCCTATCGACGTGCCTTGCATATATCCTTAGGAGGCATCATTATGGAAGAGACGATTGCGCCCTCTGCTTCTATTTGGCGGAACTTTTAAAACAGTTTTGCAACACCCGTCCCTCTTATTTGGTGAAAATATCAAGGAAAAAGCTGGTATCAAAACTTTATGAAATGTAACAGCCCGTTATATCAAGCGGCCCTCGAAAACCCAAGAACAGGCAAATTAGTTTTTCCCCAAAACGGTTGTCTCTTTCCAAGATACTCCCACGGCGGTTGGGGCCAGCTTTTCCCCTTTTCAATTCATGGGCGGGAAAAGGAAACAATTGCCGTAATCGGTGTGTTTCTTTCACTTTCACAATTGCCCAGAGGTGGAATTGCTGTTGATTGTGAGCTTTTTGCTCCCCTGCCATCGCTGTCGAGTATCAGTTGAATCTTGAGGTATCATGGCAGGTAAGATCATAGATAGTTTTTCTAAACCCCCTCCCTTTTTTTTCTTAAAACCTTAAATCCTGAAAGCGGGAGTGGCGGTTTTACGTTTCGTTTTCGCTTTTTTTACGCTGCATTTTTTACATTGTAACATGCGAGGAGGAGCTTTCCTTTTCCCACCCAATCTGGGTCTTGCAACGCGCAAAAATACCTTTTCTTCCTAAACCGGATTGCTTTGGCTCCCTTCCTGTGTATAACAAAAAAGATCTGGATTTTACCAAGGCGCTGGCGACAGGATCGTATAGTATGGAATGAGAGCAACTGGAGCTTATTGGGGGGAATCGCAAAGGATGATTAAGGAGCAGGAGTTTTATTGTTTTGAGATTGTTTTATAGTTACTGGTTTTATTGCCGTTGTGAGCCTCCCAGAGTTGCTTAAATTGTCCGGTCATATAAATCTTTTAAGTAAATAAGGCATATAGGAGTAGACAGACACTCTTGTTTCCTCAGATATAGATTAACATAACTGCCTACCTGGCATTCAGTTTGGTTCCAAAGAATTGTCCTCTCTGGACTACAATACAAATCAAGATATGTATACCCAAATTAGCATAGCTTTTACACCCTTTCAGAAAACAAAGGGACACTAATCATTAACAAGCAGTAGGAAAACAAGCGACAAAGTACAGTAGTCCTGGGCATGATCACAACTGAGCCCATCATTTCTGTTACTAAGCAAGGTGAGGTTTGTCCCATTTTACATTTTTTCTTGACATATTTGTTAAAAGTGAATCTCTGCAGTTGTTAAATTAGTAGCAAAGTTGTTAAGTGAATCTGACTTTCCTATTGACTTTGCTCGTTAGAAGGTTGCAAAAGATGGTCACATGATCCCGGGACACTGCAACTGTCATAAATATGAACCAGTTGTCAACATCTGAATGTAAATCACGTGACCATGGAGATGCTGCAATGGTCATAAGTGTGAAAAATGGTTGTAAGTCACTTTTTAGTGCCATCGTAAATTTCAATGGTCACTAAATGAACTGTTGTAAGTCAAGGATATTCACATGATAGAAGATAGCCCTCCCAGAAGGTGTGTTCTTTACTAAAAATATTACAGCTTTCATCCTTCTGTCCCTGATAACTAATTGTTCAAAACTCAAAACAAGGGGAAGTTAACCCTGAATCAGCTGCTGGCCTGGTATGAGTTCCTTGATGCGCCTATTTATATAACTTTCCAGGAATTTTAGGATAAGGATGTAAGTGCCAAGAATGAGAGGCCCAAAAGGAAAACATCTAAGAGCAAAATAAAAGTTTTTCAACAGGATGATGTGTCATGTATAACATCACAATGACTTGTGATGCAGTAATTGGAAGTCAAGACCTTTCCTATTGCCTCTAGTATCTGCATACCAGAAAAAAAGAATTTCCGTACAGTATTTATGAGATGTCTCAGTATGAACATATCTGAAATCAACAATGCAGGGCCTGCAAGCACCAACTTGCCCACTAAATATTTTGGCATTCACAAGGTTCTTAGCTCCATCTGATAGTTTCTTTGGAATAAATAACTAGATGGGTGGGTAGGTGGGTAGATGGACAGACACTAGTGTTTTCAAGAATGCTCTGGGCCCAGTACGTATTCTTAAAAAAATAAAATGAGGAGGGAACTGCAACTCATTGTTTTGTCTGGAAATGAGCCTACATGTTAGGGACTCATCATTTTGCCTTCTAATAAATGATGGTAGTGATTGTCCATTAGTGCAAACTTTTTGCAATTGGGCAAGCCTTCCTCCATGATTTTGTTCATATCTACTGTAGTGAAACCCAGCTTGCTGGCTGAGAGATTCTGGCAGTTGAAGTCCACAAGTCTTAAAGTTGCCAAGATTGGAGACCCCTGATCTAAGGGGTTGTTATTAGATAGAGTCCAGCATCACCTTTTTCGCTTTCTGCAGAATCCCACGTTAATTTTATAATACATAAAATCCAGTCATTGGTCAGACTTAACCATTTGCGGGTTCTCTGGGCAGAAAAGTGAGCTAATTTGAGGTAATATATACTAGTTTATATTTTAATTGCCTGCTCCTATTTATCAGAAAGCTATCTTCCAGACTTATATTGTTTGGGGGTTATAGGAATTATAATTCCAATATTTCTGATTGGAGAAAAGAAAGAGCACACACACACGGACACAAATCTGGTTTACACATCACACTGAATCCAAATGTGATTAATCATGTGTTGTGATTTGCATGGCACACTAAACTAATAAACCATTTTCTGGCATTCTTGTACACATATCTACATTTACAGTGAGAGTAGACACCCAGTATATAAATAGCTACAGTAAGATGTGAATCTAAGAGTCAGCACTACAAATTACAGGTAGTCCTTGGCTACAAATACAATCAGGACCATAATTTCTATCATAAGTCATTGCATTTATAAGTTGAGTCAGGCCTGATTTTTATGGTGGTTGTTAAGCAAATCATGTGGTCATTAAATGAATCCAGCTTCTCCAATGGGCATTTTTTTGCCAGAAATTAGCAAAAAAAAAGGTTGCAAATTACTATCCCTTGACTGCAGGATGCTGCAACCAATTGTAAATGCAAGCAGGTTGCCAATTGCCGAACTGCAACCACATGAGTGCAGTTCAACAATTGTAAATGGGAATGCAGGTCATAAGCCACTTGTTCCAAGGCTGTTGTAACTTTGCATTGACACGAAAAGAATGTAAATGGATCTCAGTAAAATTGTAATTCTTCAAGTCAGTGTGATAAATTTAGAAAAATGCACTTGCTTTCCTTACAGATCAGAGGTTGGAGGAAGTGCGCACAGAGTTTATACAGCGTATTAACAAAGCTATCATCAGCCAGCTCTTGGATGATCTGCTCCGTGAGAGAATCATGGAGGATGAAGAGGTGGAAGAAGTGAATACGAAAAATAAGAGGCAGGACCAAGCAAGAATTTTGATCGATAATGTGAGAAGAAAAGGGCCTGAAGCTAGCCGCCGCTTTATTGTCTTCCTCCAGAACCGAGATGCTTTCTTGGCTGGACAACTGGATCTCCAAAACTTTCCTGCTGGTACTTGTGATCTTAGAGCATATCATCTAGCTTTGGGCCAAAATGACTAGCCTTCCTCTCTAATTTAGTTGCTGTGGCCCAGAACCACGCAAAGGCTGTGTGTTGTGCCCCAAAGTGTTTGGGCTGGTTAGGTTTGTCCACATTGGTGTAATAACTCATTTTGAAAGGAAACTTTATCATAAGATGGTATTTGTTTTTTTAGTAGCACATTCATAAGAACGTTTCTATATACTAAGATATAGGTACATGAAATTTGGGTGCCTTCAAATTTTTAATTAGCTTCATTGTGTCTTATAAAAATTCTCCCTTAATTTTTTTTTGGATTAGGACAGTGATGGCGAACATTTTGGGCTCAGCATGTCAAAAATTCAGAAAAAGCCTAACTTGACTCTGCTGGTGTGTCACGCCCTCCCCATCGGACAAAGGAAAAACAATTCTTAACAAAGTGTTGCTTTGGATAGAGAAATGGGCAGCACATAAATGTAATAAATAAATAAATAAAAACTCACATAATTGTAAATGTTTTTCGATTTGTCTTTGTCTCTTTATCTGCGGTCACATGAAACTTTAGAGAATTGTCTTGTGTGTGGCCTGTTCTGAAAAAAACAGAAAAGCATGTCTCGTTCTTGCACCCTTTTTGGAGGCTCCAGAATCTGCATGAGAACAGAGTCCTCTTGCACGATTTCCAGATGGTCCGGAGGTCATGTGAGAGCATACAACATTGTTGTGCAGTGTCTGGAGCCTCTGAAAATCATGTGAGAATTTTCCATGCTTTTTGGAGGCTGCAGAGGCCACATCAGATTGTGGTGTGCTCTTACACAGCTTCTGGACCCTCTGGAAGTCATGTGAGAGGGCCCTACTCTTACAAGGCCTCTGGAACCTCCAAAAATTGTGTGAGAACATTCTCGTGTTATTTTGTCAATTGCTCATTTCAACTGAGTTGGGCAGCCATATACATTTTCTTAAATGAATAATTTGAAGGGATAGGTCTGAAGTTAGGCTATGAGAATCAGAAAGGTTGGTAGACCTCAGGCTGGGTGTTAAGTTATCTGCTAGGTTTCTCGTTAGCATCTTGAAGGCTTTCTTGGAGACCAGCAATGTGGAGGAAAGGCCAAGATCTTCACAGCTATCCTTTGCCAGCAGCTCTATTCATGTTGCTTAATTTTTTGCATATTTTTTAGATTTGCTATGGCGGTGGAGCCAATGAGCAGAAGGACATGCTCTTTCTCAGGGCCCAGACTTGCTAATTACTAAGTGATTTTAGTTCTCTTGTAGCTAACAAGAAAACAAGTGTCCCTGTGATGTTGTATTACAATTCCCAGTGCCCTTTTGATGGGCTGCTAGGGACTGTAATTCAACAATTTAAAAGGTCCGAAGCTGACCCAAGTGATATTTAATAATTCACTGTGATAAAAAAGCTGAATCTGGTGTTCAACTTTCCTCCCAATAAAAGGTAACATCTCAAAGGAAGAAGTCCAGTTCCTGGAATCTAAAAACGGGGTCAGGCTTTGTCCTCAGAATGTATTTCAGCAAATACAGATTACAGAAGGCACCGAGGTGAGTTGGCAGACCTAGTTAGATCTATCCAAGACTTGGGCTTAAATACTGCATTTCATTGCACTCAGTAGCTGCTGTAAAAGATAGCCACAGATGTGAACTAAAAAATCATCTTTTGTAGCAGGAATTTTGAATATTTCTTAAATTCTCCTCATCCTGGCTTTTGGAAATATTACCTTGTTTTATTTCTAAAGCAGAAAAATGAGTTGGGATTCCTCTATTCTATATCTAACAACAAGTAAAACATGAAACTAAGGGACCTTTAAATATAATGTGACCACAATACCTTCATTAGCTTTAAAAGTAGACAACTCATGGACTCTGTGGCTTCATAGAAGTGCCATGTCCTCTGAATATTTGCGGCTGGTTACATGAAGGGGAAGGAAAGGGAAGTCTTGCCTTCAAATCAGGCTTGTGGGTTTTCTCAAGTTCTTAGCCACCCACTACAGCAAACTGGAAGTCAGACTATTTTGGGTCTGGTTTAACAATTTTATTTTTATGGTTAAGTGAATACATCTTTAGATTCAAATAATCTCTAAACACTAAGTTCTGAGTAATAGCAAAACCATTGTAATTTTCAGCCTTGTTTGTAGATTTTGCAGTACCAATAAGATCATTCAGATGTTACAGAAATAGTTTCCAGGATCCCCCACCACTGACTAAAATTGATAAGAATTGGAAGAGCCCTAAACTAGATGAATGCTTGGCATAACTAAAATTCAGGATGAGAATCACTTTTGTTTCCCCATGCAGATCTATCCTATCAATGATCCCAGGACTCGAACACGCCTGGCTTTGATCATCTGCAATATCAAATTCGATTACTTGAAATTTAGAAAGGGGGCTGAGGTAGACTTGGAACAGATGACACTTCTCCTAGAAGATCTGGGATACAAAGTGGAAATAATGACCAATTTAAACTCACAGGTAAAAAAAAAAAGTTACGTTTATAAAGTAAAATTCAATTTGTTACTCAAGGAAAAAAAATCTAGTGACTTTAAGTGAAAGCTAAACATTCAAGTAATGGAATGGAATAGAATAGAAAAGAATAGAATAGAATTAGAATAATAGAGTTGGAAGGGACCTTGGAGGTCTTGATTTTGCCCTTTAATACGGTATGTGTATTAACTCTAGTTGCCCACAGTCAGTTGGACCTAGCAGCTTCAAAAATGAATAAAGCATGACAATCTTGTTAAACTGCTATCTATACAATAATATTTAGCACAGACGCTGATAATCTAATACCTTGCGGATGTTTTAAATTATAAATCCAACAAGTCTTGATTTATGGCCATGCTGGTTGGAGTTGATGGGACCCTCAACTCTAAAGGACTGTAGGTTACCAAGTTGTTTATATCTAATTTAGTATAAGGAAAAAAATTCATCTGGATTGATAATTGAACTTGCTCTCCTGGATTATCTTTTTCAATTTCAAATGCCAGCATATTGTTTCTTTTTCTTCTCCCATAATTGTTTCTCCAAAAAACAGTTGAGGATGCTAATTTTCCACTGAGGATATTGGCCAGAGTGTTTTCTTTTGGAGGGCATGATGAGGTCAGCCTTCCATTCAGCCATGAAGATAGGCCCTTCCCCGCCCCCCCATCTCCATATTGGAGATTTGTGTGGGTGTTCACAAATCTCACATAATGGAGTTTTGCTGCACAGCCCTCCCATTCAGATCTAGAGAGAGAAAGCTGGGAATTGTTTCTGCATTGAATTTTTCCTAAGCTTGAATAATATTAAAATATAGTGCAATTGCAAGAAGGTATCCCCATTCTTCTCAATTTTAATAATGAGTGCAGAGTTAGCTAGAAACTGCACTTCCACTCCTGACCCACCTTCCCCTTTCTTTGCTTTCAGGAAATAACCACTTGCTTGAAGAATTTTGCAGCTCGGGAAGAACACAAGACTTCAGATGGGATGTTTGTGGTACTCATGTCTCATGGCCATCTGGACAGCCTTTATGGAGTCAATTCAAAAGACAAACACTCTGACATCTTCTCCATCAAAACTATCTTCTCCACCTTCAACAACATAAATTGCCCATCTTTGAGGGGAAAGCCCAAGGTGGTCATTCTTCAAGCATGTCGTGGAGGTAGGTTGCTGAAGTTGAGATCTGGGAGGGGAGAAGGCAGACAAATGTTTGGCAGGAATATATAGCCTCTTGCAGGAACTGTTGGTCTTAACTAGACAAAGCAACCTCTAGACTGGGGTGTCAAATTGCCAGCCTGTGGGCTGGTTTCATCATACTGAAGGCGCACCCACCCATTGCCGGCAATGCAAAAAGAGTCGTACGCCACGTGACGTGGCGAGTTTGACACCCGGGTGGGGAACTATGGTCCTTTTATGACTTCTGGACTTCAACTCCCAGAATTCCTGAGCAGCCATACTGCCTCAGGAATTCTGGGAGTTGAAGTCCACAAGTCATAAAGGGACCCTAGCTCCCCACCTCTGCTCTAGAAGACAAACATCTGCTTTTAGCAAACTGATTTGTAGATATTTACTGCTTATTGTATTTATCTCCACAAGATCTGTTTGAATAATATTCAAGTGTTTTGGGATCATGACTTTTCATAAATGGCAATACAGTAGTTGGGAAAAGCTAATTTTGAACCTTATCTTAAATCTTGGGAGATCACCTCATTGAACTTTGTCAGGAACCAAAGGGTATGCTATATTTTTGTGATGAACATAAAGCCATGTGTGAGTAACCTCTGTTCTGTCAGAGGCTTTTGATAATTGTTGATTCCCCCATTTTTTTCTCCAGAGGAACATGGATATAGGATGGAAACTGAGGAAGACTCAGCTACATCTGCTCCTGCCTCTCTCCAGTCTGATTCATGCACCAAGCAGTTGCAGACTGATGCCGTTCAGAAAATCCATGTGGAGAGTGACTTCATTTGCCTATATTCAACCACCCCTGGTAAGAGACTCTTAAAAGAAAATTGCTAAGTAGGGTCCAAAGCTGGACAGAAATGAGAAGGAAAGGCATTTAGTTGACAAAGCTGTCTGTCAATGCTTGGCAGCCAATCAGTTAAGAAAAACTGATCTGGACGTCTTTTCTAAGTACCAAAAATTCTCTGGCATGCTTGCTGCAAAAGGCCTAATCATTTATTCAGTCATTCATTCATTTATTAGATTTTTAATCCCACTTTTATTTTGTAAGTAACTCACGGCAAAGAACATAGTAATACTCCTTCCTCCTTTTTTTCACCATCACAACAACCCTGTGAGGTAGATAGATTGGGGATTTGACAATACATTCAACCACATCCCATCCAAAGAGATTGGGTCTGCCTAATAAGGTAAGCTACCAGAAATCTGATCAGCACAAACAAAGATGAGTACCATATGTAGTATGAACTAACCCCATTGTATAGTAACTGAACCAAAAGTTATCCAGGCCACCCTGCTAAGTCCCCATAGGCCTTGGGCCTGCTCCCTACCTACTCATACCCATTGTACACTTACCTTTTGAAGGTCTCCAGACCTCGTATTGGGGAAGGAGGGCAGGCCACTCATCCCTGGCTGTATGGCTGCCTCTGGGATGTAGCTGCCATTTTTAGCACACCTACAGCTTAGCACACCCACAATTTATTGTAGACTGAATGACTAGGCCTTTTGCAGCGAGCCTGCCAGAGAATTTCTGATACTTAGAAAAGAGGTCCAGATCAGGTTTTCTTAACTGATTGGTTGCCAATCTTTGACAGACAGCTTTGTCAACTAAATGCCTGTATTACTAAGGAAACAATTCTTATCATTTCTGTCCTGCTTTGGACCACTCCTTAGCAATTTTCTTTTAAGAGCACTCCATTCTACTTCCCTAATGTAATCTGTACAGCACTGAGAAAACCTTTAGAGATCTTCAAAAGATAAATGGATAATGAGAGGTGGAGTGGAGCCCAAGCCCTGCAGGGTCCTGGGGAAAGCCTGTGGTAACCTGGTGAAGGGGGGAAGGAGGCCTGAGGGCTGTAAGCATGATGAGGGGCAGGACGATAGGGTAACTTAGAGGTGGGGGAGGTCTTGGGACTCCGAAGGCAAGTGGGCTGGGGTCTGCATTAGATCTCTCAGAGCCTTCCCACCCCTGAAGCTCTGCTCTTTTAACGACCCACATGTTCATTTAACAACTGCATCAGGGAGTGCAGGGGATGCTAGTTGTTAAGTGAGGCCATCTTGCTTAATGGCCATCATCACTTGCGACTGTAAAGGGCAGGCTCTAGTACTGTCATAGGTCGAAGACTATCTGTATAGGTTTAAAATTTCTTAAGTAGAGAATGAAGTCTGACATCGTGAAGAATAATTGCTTAATCATTGTCTGTTTAGATCATCTATCCTGGAGAGACACTAAAACTGGATCACTCTTCATCACTCAGCTAATAGATACTATCAAGAAACATGCCTGGAATTGCAATTTGGAAGAGGTCTTCCGGAAGGTAGTCTTTCTACACAAGGCTCATGTTTGGAATGAAGTTCTTTTATTAAAGACCTACTTTGGAATTGGAATGACACCTCTCCACAGCCAACTTGCTGCGGCCAACTCACCATGGCCAACTCGCTGCGGGACAATTCAATTTAATTATTTAAAATAATAATAATAAAAATATTTTTTGTCATTCACATTTCATTCTATTTTGTTCCATCATTTCTTTCATATTAGTATAACTTGTCCCACAGTGAGTTGTCCCATGCTAGTTGGCCGTGGTGAGTTAGCCGCAGCAAATTGTCGTAGGCCCCTTTGGAATTAGGAGCCATGCTGGTCCAGTGATTAAAATGCAGTATTGCAGGCTAATTCAGCTCAATGCTGGGAGTTCGATCCTAACCGGCTCAAGGTTGACTCATCCTTCCATCCTTCCAAGGTCAGTAAAATGAGGACCCAGATTGTTGGGGGCAATATGCTGACTCTGTAAACCATTTAGCAAGGACTGTAAAGCAGTGGTTCTCAACCTTTTTAATGCTGCGACCCCCCAACCAGTCGTAAGTCGAGGACTACTCAACCAGTCGTAAGTCGAGGACTACTCAACTGGTGCAGCACCATTTGCAGAATGGGACTTTTGGCGGGCTCAGCAGGGCAGAGACAGCCTGGACAATTCCTATTGGCTTTTGAAAGCCAATAGAATTAGACTCTATTCAAGAGAGTCTATTCTATTGGCTTTCAAAAGCCAATAGAATAAAAGGGAGTAGCACAGCTAAGGAAAAAGGGGGGGGGGAATGGCAGACTGCGTTGTTTGGGGACCCCCGTGAAATGGTCGTTTGACCCCAAATGGGGTCCCGACCCACAGGTTGAGAACCACTGCTGTAAAGCACTATGAAGTGATATATAATAACCAATGCTATTAGTGGCCCTAAATCATATATTTTTAGCTTCTGTTCCTTTTTTCCTGCCATTAGTAATTAAATCTCATGTTCAAAAACTTAGAGTCCATAAAGAAATGGAAGAATGTGGGCAGATTCTGCAAACTTCTATCATTCAACAATTCAGCTGCAAGAATGTTGCATAGATTTATCATGTAAATTGTGTTTGAAGATTTCCTTTTTGTAATTATGGTGAGCATAAAATAAAACAAAATTTGCGGGGGGGGGGGGGGCGGATTTTGATAGGCAAAAAAAGGAACAAAAACCTCTCTCTTTTTTTGCATCAACTCCCTTCTTCCCTCACCTTCAAAAATCTTGGTTTTCAACTCCCATAATTCTAGCCAGCAAGACATCCAATTGGAGGAAAGCTAACAAAGAACTGCTTTCATGTCATCAATTTTAAAATTGGATCTGATCAAAATTATCCATAGTATTCAACTCACTAATGACTAAATAGCTTTAGAAAAACCCAGACAATACCTATTGCTACTCACTACAAATTTAAAAAAATCCTTTGAGAATATAATCCAGGGTACCTTAATTCTGTGATGGTTCTGAACTGTCCTTCAAGCTTTTGCATCCCTTCTTTATCCATAGTCTTTGGATTACAATAGTAAACCTGGCTACATAGCTTCTCTGTCTGGTTTCCCCATCATGAAGGTAGCAAGCTCAAGAAACAAGAACCATGTGGATTTCTTGATAGATCTTTTTTTGTTAGTGGAATAATGTAACAGAATTGTGAAAACCTAATGAAGAATTTCCCCTGTGCAATTTATTTATATCTAATGTAAGAATAGAATAGAATAGAATAGAATAGAATAGAATAGAATAGAATAGAATAGAATAAGTCCTCAACTTACAACAGTTCATTTAGTGATCGTTCAAAGATACAATGGCACTGAAAAAAGTGACTTATGACTGTTTTTCATATTTACAACCGTTGCAGCATCCCCTTGGCCATGTGATCAAAATTCGGATGCTTGACAGCTGGTTCATATTTATGGTGAATGCAGTATTTTGGGGTCATATGATCACCTTTTGCGACTTTCTGATAAGCAAAGCCAATGGGGAAACCAGATTAATTTAACAACGGTGTTACTAATTTAACAATTGCAATGATTCACTTAACAACAGTGGCAAGAAAGATCATAAAATGTGGCAAAACAAACTTAACAAATGTCTCACTTAGCAACATAAATTTTGAGCTCAATTGTGGTCGTAAGTCAAGGACTATCTGTAGAATAGAATAGAATACAATAGAATACAATAGAATACAATACAATACAATACAATACAATACAATACAATACTTTATTTGGCCAAGTGTGAGACACACAAGGAATTTGTCTCCAGTGCATAAGCTCTCAGTGTACATGCAAAACAACAAAGTAATCCAAATAACAAAGTACAGGTAGCCCTTGACTTACTACCACAACTGAGCACACAATTTCTAATGTTAAGTGAGAAGTGAAATTTACTAACATTAGAAATTAAGTGAAATTTCTAATGTTAGGTGAATTTTGCCCCATTTTCTTGCCACAGTTGTTAAGTGAATCATTGCAGTTGATAAATAAGTGACGTGGTTGTTATGTGAATCTGACTTCCCCATTGATTTTGCTTGTCAAATGGTTGCAAAAGGTGATACCATGATTTTGGGACACAGCAACGGTCATAAGTATGAGTCAGTTGCTAAGCCTTTGAATTTTGATCACATGATCATGGGGAATTCTACAAAGATTGTAAGTGTGAAAAATGGTCATATGTCACTTTTTTCAGTGCCAATGTAACCTTGAACAGTCCCTAAACAAACTGTTGTAAGTCAAGGACTACCTGTAATAATAATCACAATAACGATACTAATAAGAGAAGGTAGTGGAACAGATAGTAATACAGCCATACTATATGATTAAATATACTTAAGATGAAGTTATTCTGAGTCTGTTTTTCATGCTTCCCTCCTGTTCAAAAATGTCTTTTGTAACAGACCCATTTCCTACCTTAAGATCTTGCTGCCTCCTCTGTATTTCAAGGACTTAAGCATTCCATCATATCAGCAGAGTCACTGTGTCACAGATAGATAGATAGATAGATAGATAGATAGATAGATAGATAGATAGATAGATAGATAGATAGATAGATAGATAGATAGATAGAACTTGCAGATTCTTCCTTCTAGCCAAAATCCACCAGCCAGGCAGTAAAAGCAAATCTATCAACTGTCCAAGATTCAACATCATAACAAAAGCATTCCATGCAGAAAAGAGTTTAAGAAAAGAGAAAGATAAAAATGGATATTGTAATCACTCCTGATAAACAAGGCAAGCATTTGGACAGCTGGTTATCGTGGCCCATGGGACAAAGACAAGATTTCTGACACTGAATTATCAGATTGATCTATATTCCTGTCTGAATCAGATTAGCTAAATTCAGATTGCTATTTACTTGGAAGCAACACCTGTGTAGACTGCTATTGCTAGAAAGCATTTCGAAAGAGCATCCAATGCCTCTGGACCCACAATTATTATTACTCTCCTGGACTTATGGAGCATGCACAGGAAAACAGGAGTTGGAGTTATAGTTAGTCTAGTGCAGCGGTTCTCAACCTGTGGGTCGCGACCCCATTTGGGGCCGAATGACCATTTCACGGGGGTCGCCAAACAATGCGATCCGCCATTTTTTTTGTCAGCCGGCGCAGGGAGAACCACTGGTCTAATGGAAAGCAACATTACTTGTGTTTTTTTGGGGGGGGGGGGAGAGTCCTAACTCTTGGTCTCCATCAGTCTCTAAGGGTTCCTCTACCTCTTCCTAATCCCTTAAGAATGAATTATGTATTCCTAATTAGTAAAGTCATAAGAGTCTTGCAAGACCTTTTAAGACTAACTTTATGTTAAGGTATAAGATTTTGTGAACTGCAACTCACTTCATTAAGTCCATGAAGTCACTTGATCGATATGGAATTTAAATAGATTGGGATGAGTTGCGGGTAAAAGAAAGGTGTTTATGCAGATAAAAGTTCCATATCGGACAGATTGCAAACACCTATCAACTAATAACTATAATATGCTATACCTTAAGATCGAATCATTAGTCTTAAAAGTTGTCCATTGGTTCTTTCTGATTTTGGCTATTGTAGTCTAATCTGATTCTTCTACAATGTCTAGTTAATAAAGTGAATGTGTATAAGCGGATAAAATATATTACGAGTTACTAATTTTTAGATGGGGCTAGATGACTGATTTGGACATGCACTCACCAGCGTTTGTTTCTGTGCCTTCCATCTTGCAGGTGTTGCAGCACTTTGCAAGCAACCCATGTCAGATGCCCTCAAAGGACAGAACCACCCTGATTAAAAAGTTCTACCTCTTCCCAGGACATTGAAGGCAGGTAAGTGTTTCTTCTTACACCTGTATCACCAGATTTTGGAGTATTTGGGAGCAGTAGCATGAGAGACAACAGCCAGCTGATTTTTCTTGGAGTTCGGGGGTAAATCTGAAGCTCTTTTTTGACAAATCAGGAAATCCCTTCTTCACATCTCACCACTATCATGAACTCACAGTGAGGTCTTCAGTCTCTTTTCTTCTGTGTAATATGGAGAACAATAATCCTTTTTTTTAACAGGAATAATAGGAAATCACAAACCACATGTGGGCTCCCCAACACCCCAAGTAATGTATCTGACAAATCTCTGAATGTGAACAGAACAACATTCTTTTACATTTTTAAGAAAAAGAAATAAAGCATGTGTATGAAATCTTTTCCTAAGTTTTGCACACCTTATGATAATCATTCTGATACCTGCCTCCAAGTCAGTCCTATCCGCTTCTGTGATGACACTGATCATTGTATACTGCATTTCCCAGACACTGGCAACAACCCCTGCCCACATTGGAAAAAGATAGCCTGCCCCCTCTTTATAAGGTATTGAACAATTACAACTGATAGCACATATGAATCACTTTAAACAATTGCCAGCACTCTGCAAAGTACATGTGAGACCCCGTTCACCTACATTGCTATAAGGCAGGCAATATGCTTGATCAGTAAGATCAGTGATAGGAATGAGCTTTGGAATTAGGGCTGGTATACTTAGCCTTTTTCTATGATTACCACTTCTATTTTACACCTACTTGGATCAAGACAAACAATAAACTCTTTAGAAAAATCTAATCATTCACACAAAGCTCTGATTTTATTATAAAACGTGGGCAGAATGATTTGGAGACTACATTATTTGCTCATCCTGCTTCAAAAGTAAACAATTAAGGTAATGTAGTGTAATGAAACTAATGGTAATTCATGTCATACAGGTCCTCGAATTATAACCATAATTGAACCCCACAATTATTATTATAGGTTATGAGGATCATAAAGCAAGTTACCATATGACCAGAGCTTATTTTATTACCTTGTTTGCAGTGCAATGACCTCCACAAACAGAGGTCATTAAGCAAAGTATTGTTCGCTATGGGGCATTTTTACCAGAAACCGGAAGTAAATGCCAGTTTCCAGCAAAAACATCATAAATCATGGTCTTACAGGGATCTGCAAACAACTGTATATGGGGGCTGGTTGCTGAGTGCCCCGCAACATGACTTGGGGGTGGCCCGGATGTTGAAATTTTGAATTTGGGTCATAAGTAGCTTTTTCAGGGTCTAAGTGTTGAGACTACCTGTATACCTGTATGTGTTATACTAACAGACACTACGTATCATCTATATATACTTTAATTTTTTTAATATAGATAACAAATATTGATGTAAAGAATTATGTATAAGGACCTAGACATTCTTTTAAATGTTTAATCACCATGTTAAGTAGCTGAGTTGAATAATTGCATGTTCACAGATGTGGACTTTTGTTATACTTTTTCGGGGGGGGGGCATTATTGTATATTTAATATTTTGTGAGCCACTCAGAGTTATACGAGCAAGATAGGTAGCCTTATACTGTAAATTGTTTAAATAAATAAATAGCTGCTGCTCATTCTTTTTCTTCTCTTTTTCTCAGGTGAAGGAGAAGCTACTGGACCAATAAGCAAATAATTTTCAGATATGTTGAAGAAATATGGATTGACCAAACCTTGTCCTTTCTCCACCTTATTCCTCACTGTAAACTTCCATCAACCCAATTTTGGAATTTTATGTGATTAGTGTGTGTTTCCCACAGCAAAAACTTTAAACTGTGATGCTTAAAATGGAAATAAGTGTCAAAACCTATATGTAATGGTTCATTCACCCCATGAACAATTAATGAAGAAGTTAAAGACTTTTAGTAAAGTATCTGATTTTAAGGTCAACAAACAGAAGACCAAGGTATTGATAAAAAATGAGTATAGAAAATCAAGAGAAATTAAATCCAAACATGACTCTTAAAATTGAAAGGAAAGATAAATATTTAGGAGTAATATTAACCACTCAAAATTGTATGTTAGTTTAGAACAGGGGTGTCAAACCTGCCACATCACGTGACGTGTCGTAACTTATCGCGACTTTTTCTCCCTTGCGGGAGATGGGGTGGGCGCAGCTTCCATGTGATGCATCCAGCCCGTGGGCCAGCAGTTTGACACCCCTGCTTTAGAAAAACTATGGAAAAGTGTGAAATTGTCAGAACCCATTTCCTTTTGGGGGGGGAATCTATTTCATTTCTCTTCATTTCTTTCTGTGGGTTCTGCCATTCTCCTAAGGGGAGGGGGAAAGGTTCTGTGGGATGCTTTTTGCTTTGCTGCAATGTATCCTTTCCTGGTTCTACATATTTGCTCTGTGAACTGTTTCTCCCTTGTTGTCAACCTGGGGTGAGAAAGGAATGTGCCTCCGGCCATCTGTCTTATCTCTCACTGTGGAAGAGAAAGATGCAAAGACCCAATAATGTCTTCACAGGCATGGGAACAAACTCCGTTATCAGCTCCGTTCCCACAGTGGAGCCTGGGGATTGGCTCATTCAAACTGACCGGATGAATTATTGGGGTGGAGTTTGCTTGGGACTCTTTTAACCTGTTGATCTGAGCAGGAAACCCTCAGATCCTGCCTTCTATGCCTGCTATCAGCTTCTCCAATAAAAGTTCCTTTTGGAGTAAAACTGTTCCAAGAGTCCTGCTTTCTTGGGATGAGGTTTTGAAGTGGGTCCTAACCAATGGTGGGATTCAAATTTGTGAACAACTGGTTCTCTGTGTGGATGCTGCTTCTGGAAGTCCATTCTGGGCCTGGGCAACAAAAAATCACCTACCGGTTTTGCCAAAGTGGTGCGAACTGGCTGAATCCCAGCACTGGTCCTGACAGAAATGCAATTTAAAAAGATTTAGTGAAATGGGATAAACTAAAAATATCAGTAATGTGTAAAAGTGTTAGGCAATTGTGCAAAAATGCTTTAAATTAAGAATGTTTTAAGAAATGGAAGTGTTAATAGTTCATTATTTTTATCAATTAGCAAAATGAAAAGTAAATGAAAAATCCAAATCAAAACAATATTTCGTGTGACCACTCTGCCTTCCAAACAGCATCAATTCTTATATTTGTACAAAGTCAGGGTTTTTGTAGGGTTAGACTCAAGTGTATGATTAACCAATTATACCTAGCAAGTGCTAATGATCATCAATTTCGTATGTAGCAACCTACAGTCATTAATTGAAACAGAAACAGTTGTGTAGGAGGCTAAAATGGTACAGAACAGCCAAACTTGGTTACTAAGGTGAGCAGGTGGAAGATGGTTTCATGGCAAAATTGAGCACAGGAACAAGACAAAGTTATTATACTGCATCAGCAAAGTCTCTCCCAGGCAAACATTTCAAAGCAGACGGGTTTCAAGATGTACTTTTCAAGCTATTTTGAAGAAGCACAAAGAAACGGGCAATGTTGAGGAGCATAGACATAGCGGTCAGCCAACAAAACTTAATGCAGGGGTCTTCAAACCTGGCCTTTTTATGACTTGTGGACTTCAACTCCCAGAATTCCTCAGCCAGCCTGGCTAAGGAATTCTGGGAGTTGAAGTCCACAAGTCATAAAAGGGCTAGGTTTGAAGACCCCTGACTTAATGCAACAGATGAAAGACACATCATATTTCCCTTTGACATCAGAAGATGTCCAGCAATGCCATCAGCATAGAACTGGCAGAAACCAGAGTGCCCCAGGTATTCCCATCCACTGTTCAGACAAATCTGACCAGAAGTGTTCATGGAAGAATTGTAGCCAAAAAGCCATACCTCCAACATGGAAACAAGGCTAAGCAACTCAACTATGCACAAAAACAGAATTGTAATGCAGAAAAATGGCAGCACGTGCTCTGGACTGATGAGTCAAAATTTGAAATATTTGGCTGTAGCAGGAGCCAGTTTGTTCACTGAAGGGCTGGAGAGTGGTATAATAATGAATGTTTGCAGGCAACAGTGAAGCATGGTGGAGGTTCCTTGCAAATTTGGGACTGCATTTCTGCAAATGAAGGTGAAGATTTGGTCAGGATCAATGATATCCTCAATGCTGAGAAATATAAGCAGATACTTATCTGTCATGCCATACCATCAGGGAGGCACGTGATAGGCCCCAAATTTATTCTGCAGCAGCAGAATAACGGCCCCAAAACATACAGCCAATGTCATTAAGGACTATCTTCAGCATAAAGAATAGGAAGTCTTGGAAATAATAATTTGGCCCCCACAGATCACTGATTTCAACATCATTGAGTCTTTGGGGTAATGTGACGAGACAGAAGGATTTGAGGCAGCCTACATCCATAGAATACCCATGGTTAGTTCTCCAAGATGTTTAGAACAACCTTGAAGGAACCTTGCCAAGTTCCTTCAAAAGCTGTGTGCAAGTGTACCTAGAAGAATTGATGTTGTTTTGAAGGCAAAGGATGGTCATACAAATATTGCTTTGATTTGGATTTCTCTTTTGTTCATTTACTTACCACTTGTGTTAATAGTTTATTTTTATCAATTAACAGTCTATTTCTGATTATTAATTTATAGCATTTTCGCACAACTGCCTAAAACTTTTGTGTCAGGTCTGCCATTTTCAGCCGCTTTGCTTTGTTGGCATCCTGCCATAAATGGAAGGAGGGGGAGGGATTTGGGGAATAAGCAGGAGGAAAGAAGAAGGATGAAAGGGGGGAGGGAAATATACTGACAGGAAACATAGATGTCAAACCAGAATAATCCAGCTGCCCAAGGACTCCTAGCCTGGAAAATGAATGTGAAACCACTTCATGAAGCACCTGACATCAAAGTGGTTCCAAAGACAACACACCAGGATGCTATTGGACACAGTCAAACTGGTCAAGGGGGGAGGGCCAGGAAAAGGAGAAAATTAATCTTTGCACGGGAATACTCAGATCTAGCCTTGCTTTTGCTGCAACCATTGATCTTTAGTAAAAGAATCTATCACTTCAACCAAATGGAGTCAAGGGTCTTTATTTCCTGGGAAATCCAGCTGGGCAGGTCTGGCACAGTACTATATGTTAGGTAGAATTAGTTATATTAATGAATGTTTTATCAAGGATGTTGTTTCTATTTAAAACAATACCAATTATGACTACTGAGTTATCTTTTAAACAAAGGCAAAAATATAATAAGTTTGCATAGCATGTCAAAAAGCCAAGGATTAAAATGAATTGTTTCAGGACACTACGGAAAGAGGGGGGTTAAACTGATAAGCTGTCAGAGATGTACTGTATAAAGCTGCAAATGTAATCAATCTGAAGATACTTCTTAGCATCTTTGATGGATATGTAAGTAGGCTAAGAAATTTTGAAATCAGATGTTAATCTTGGTTCAATTTTTTTTTAAAATGAAGTAGGTTTGGAACCCGAAGCTTCTCCTTTAGGGATGGCAGTTAAACAGGTAGAAAGAAAACATGGGATTTTTATGCTGAAGGTATAAAAATTTTGAGAACCATCTGATGTGGTAATAGGATCATTCAGCAAATTTTGGATGATGCATCAATGTGTATGACCTGATATATGGAGAAATCTTTTAATGTTAAAGATGTTAATGTAATGTTCAATTACATAGCAATGGTATAAACCAATGACTATAGGTAAGCATAAAATATAAGGGGTTTTTTCCCTTCCGAGTTTGCATTTTTAGTTTGTACGTTTACATTTTTTTTAATTTTGTCTTTAAGACTAAAGATTGTTTTTTTAAAAGTAGAGTATGCTTTTCCCTTAACTCAGAATTAGATCCACACCTCTAGCTTTTAGACTCATCTCAGCAACGATCGTTCTCCCGTCCTTCCCAGCTCACAGCCGCTTTACCAGGAGAAAGGGGCGCTTTCCATCTGCATCCGACCGAAGCTTTTCCTCATTGTCAGCCAATATCAGGGCAAACCACCGTTAAACTTTAATTAATGCCACTTAGATGTTTCAACAATATAATTATTATTTTACATAATCTGAGTTGACGGAAGTATAATTTTTATTACAATTCCAGCATTCGGCGGTCTATACATTAAACACCTAGCTTTATCACACTCACTCACGCACCAATCCTTTCCTTTCAAGGCATACCAAAGGAATAGACTACAGTAATTGGCCCATACAAGCCAAGGTCCCGCCTTGTCTTTTGATTGGACCAAAACAGAGGCGTAGTAGAGGTGGGGCGATGTGATTGAACACAGGCAGTGGGATTAACGCTGAAAGACAGGAATTGATATGGAAATGTCTTAACTGCAGCAGCACCCAGGCGTGCCTCTCGTCACAGCCAATGAACTGGAATATTTTATTTCCCACCCTTTTTTTGACAGCCCTGAGGAGAAAATGGCCGTGGGCGCCTCTTTTTTTTCCTCTCTCATCCTGATTGGCTAGCGTGAAGGACGCGCTGTGATTTCTCATTGGCTGTTCTGGCCTGCCCCTTTCCCTCCCACCCCTTTCCTTCCTCCTTTGTCACGTTGGGGAAGAATGATTGATGGGAGCAATGACCAATCTGAGCACCAGATGCATAGAATTGTCTCCTCCAAGAGGCGCAATCTCAGTTTCTGGATTGGATCTCTGTGACGGGCATTGATTGGCTGACAGCGGGCACTGTGAAGGAGTGGCTGGCTGGGAAAGTGGGCGGGAGCTGCACGAGGCGCTTGAGGTGGGAGCAGCGCCGTCAAGAGAAGGAGGAGGAGCGCAGGTGAGGAGACCCCTTTCGCGCTCGCTCAACCGGTCGCCCTCTCCCCTCTGTCCCCTCATTCTGCGGTGGCGGCGACGGGCTTCGGGGTGGGGCCTTGATGTCTCCGGGCCTCGCTTCGTTTTGGGGGAAGAAAGCGAAGGCCCAGGCCGAACGCCTTTCCCTAATTGCTGTCAGTCTTAAAAGCGAGGGGAGGAGCCTGGACAAACCTCGCCCTATTGAGGGCATATCATGCCACACCCCCAAAGTTCTAACGAGTTGTTCAGCGAGCTTTGAACATGCTCAGGAGAACTCCGGTTTCATTAGGCCCAGTTCTCACACTTTAATGAAACTTCGTTTTCTCGAATACGTGTAGAATCTTTTTAAGTAGCTCTCGCTTTATTTTTCCTGTCTTCATCTCCTGCCACCAGTTTGCAGTGCCATTTCTTAAAACAAGAGGGAGGAGCCTTGAGAAACCATGCCTTCTATTGTTCAAGCATATTAGCATAAATTCAAAATTGCAAGCCAGCAGTAAATTGGACTGATGTGCTTTGCTCCTGTTAAGGCGGACTTGGGTTTATATGTTACAATAAAATTTTATCTTTCAAAATGGTTACATTTTACTATTAAATATAATAGCAATATTGTGTTTATACTACAGATTAGGACTTCAGAATTCAATCTTGAACATTTTTTATCTAAGAAGAGAGCCCTGATTATTTAAACAGCACTTTTACACACTAGCTTTTAAAGTATGGGTTCTTTATGTAAAAAATATACATATATGATGTGCATATGATAATATTTTTCTTACAAATACAAAAAGGTGGCGGCTGCTTTCTTTCCCTGTTATATAGGAGGGAATGCTTTTTCTAAGACTGTACCTGCTGTGATATGTATATATGTTATCTAAAAATAAAGCCGTGTCTTTTAAATTTTATTTAATTCAGGCAAACTTAAATGATTGCAGTGCTAGGATTGTAAGCCAGGATGGGCAAGATATTCCTGTGCATCTTCGTAGTAGGATAAAAATGGCAACATTATCCAGGATGACTTTGTGCTTTTTTTAAGGCTAACATTGCTGTGTTTAAGATAGTTAGATATTGTATAATTTTGGTCTAGAATTAGTAGCCATTTAAGCCAGCTACAACCCCCTCCCCTCCCAGTCAGTTCCATTTAAAGAACCCTTGACAGAAGATCGTTCAGTTTCTGCAAAGGAATGGTAACAGCCACCTTACAATTTGTTCTACAGACAAGCTACTACTACCTTAACAACTTTTTAAGATTCAATTGGAATCTATCTTCCTGTGTTTGGAGAGCATTATTCCATGTCCTGTCCACTGGGTTGCAGCACAATGAGCACAAGGCCTTATCTATATTGATTCATTTTATATTAAAAAAATAGGATCATAGTCATCCTTTGCTGAATTTTCTCTAAGACAGACATGCCTGTCTCTTCTCATAAGATGAATAATCTTTACTGCTTTTCTTTGTTCAGTTTGTTTGAATGCCGCCTCCTGTACTTTTGATTATTTTTCCCCATGTGACAAGCTTTTCATTTGTCTCAATAAAATGTCATTCTATTATTTTGGGAAGAATTCAGCTATTTCCCTCCCATAAAATTCTCTTTCCTTATTTTCAGAAAGAATTTTCATTAGTGATGTTTACCCCAGATGCTGTAACAAAGTAAATGCTTGCATATATGATACTGAGTATATAAATTCACAATATATTTATTCAAAGTGGTACTATTCACTAAAAAGTTTATATTTTTCTTCTGTGCTGCTTTCAAGTGTATGCATGTATGAAGTGTTTATTTTTTCTATCAGGCACCAAGAGCCATTAATCTGGGCTTTAAGCTTGTACTGGGATGTAATGTATAAATTGTTCATGCAGGTGATTTATCCAATTAAATATTTTTAATAGCTATACATTCAATCTTCATAGAAACACACATCTGTATATATGGATAGAAACAACCTTTTGTCTATTTGTATTGCAAGAATTTTTTTCACTTAGAATTGAATTGAATTAGCATAAAAAAGAACAGTACTGAATCTGAGATTTTCTACATAGAAGGCACTCTTCCATTGACTAATGGACTGTCCCCAGATGTGATTTTTGAATTATGGCTTCATAAGAACTCTAAAACATGATGAGGGTAGATTTCCAAACTGAAACATCTCTATTAATATCCTTTCTTAAATCCTTCATGTAGGTGCATAAGAAAAATGCAACTGTATATATTATGAAGTAGCCCTGTGTTCACTTTGATATTAAATATTTTTTGAAATGATAATGTTAAATAAAGAGGGTAATATTGATTCATTTAGAACATCTTCCTAAAAGAAGAAAACTGTCATGTTTGCAGTCTTTGAGATATGAGAGAAGGGGCTTGGTATATGATTGGTTGCTTACAGATGGATGACAGAAAATCACTTAATATTCTCAGAAGGATGGTTTCATTTCATTATAATAGTAAGCTTTTTATATGTTACAGATCAATTCCGGTGTATTCAAAACAGATTCTAAAATAGGATATGTGGGTGAGGGCAAAACTTTATGCTTAATTCTAAAATGAGGCAGCTTTCAGATTATCCATAGATCCTCTCTTTAAACCACTTGTATAGGGTTGCTTGTGTGTGGAGTTTAGGAAAGAAAGAAAAATTAATGTAGTAAAGAAGAAAAAAAGAAATATATAAACTTTCCCTATCACAAGTGCAAAAGTTTAGTAACTTATCGCTTCTTAAAATACAACAAATTAAGGGTTACTAGAGATGATGTATGTTTTAATCTTGATCAGATAAACAATTTTATATTCCTTTTTCACTTTTACTTTTACTTTTTTACTTTTACTCTTTATTCCCTTCAAATAATCTACAACTTGATTTCTTTTTTTTTTTCTTTGTCTCTTCTCATAGAATTCTTCAAGTCTTTTCTGTAAATCCAATATAGGAAAGTTATCCAGTTTGCTCTTTTGTTGTTATTTCTATATCCCTTTTAACTTTAAGACATGCCAGTTTCTTTTGTATATCCAGTATAGCATCTTTTTTCATACAATTCTTGTAGCCTGTCATTTTAAATCCACTTTGAAATCAGTCTCAATCTGATCCACTAAAACTCTTCCATAGCATCTTTTAAACACGGTCTGTTTATAGAAGCAGTCATTCTTAAAATTTTAACTTCTGGGTCCGTTATTCAATAATATCTTCAGTATGTCCATTATTAAAATATTTTGCTTCATTTTGTATTAGGAAGCAAAATTTAAGCACTGTCCTTTAATTGTGATCTTTAGTTCCCTCTAGGGCAGGGGTGTCAAACTGCCGGCCTGCGGGCCAGATGTTTCATGGTGAAATCGCACCCAGCCCATTGCTGACAATGGAAAAAAGTGACAATACATCATGACACATCACATGATGTTGCGAGTTTGACACCCCTGCTCTAGGGTTTGGCCTTCAAAGTCTCATCTCATCATTTTTTTAAAAAAAATCAAAATGAAAGGATTGTTCCACAGGAAGGATTTTTTTATAATTACTTCTAAAATCTTATTTCAAATCCATCTGGACCCTTAGTCTGTTTGTAACTTTTCCAAATCGAAATCTTAATCTCTCTTTCTTGTTTATTCCATTTTTTTATTCGTAAACTTGTATTTAATAATTGAAAGGAACTCAACCAGTGCTATAAACCTGTCAATCGAAAGGTTCCTAATAGTTGAAAAGCAGTTAACATGCAGTTTCCAAAAATGATTAGAAAAGTATGTGTGAACTCAGAATCCCTTTAAAGGCACAAACTATGATTTGAGTAAAGGTGGCTCTAAACCCATTGGAGATCATTGTGTTGTGGTTACCTCATGAGGAGCAACTGTATGTCCCATTGTTTTCAGCTTGTAATTTTTCCCCTGGAAGTTTTGTGGTTTATCATTCTTAGTATTACCAAATTGAGGATACATTCTTTGTAGACAAGTAGTTAGGTAAGTGTTCTTTGTTCCTTTTTCAATCATGGGAAGAGATATGAAACTAAAAAATATTTTTTAAGATAGCAATAGCACTTAGATATATATACTGCTCCACAGTGCTTTGTAGCACTCTCTGAGCGGTTTACAAATGCCAGTATATTGCCCCCAACACTCTTGGGTCCTCATTTTACTGAGCTCAGAAGGATAGAAGGCTGAGTCAGCCTTGAGCCGGTCAGGATCAAATTCCTGGTTGTAGGCAGAGTTAGCTTATAATACTGCATTCTAACCCAGAGGTCCCCACCCCCCAGTCTGTGGACCAGTACTGGGCCGTGGCATGCCAGAAACTGGTCCACACAAACAAGCAAAGCCCCATCCATGGGATGCAGGCAGCACACAAAACCACACCCTCTCCAGTCCACGGAAAAACCTCTCTCCAGGGAACCAGTCCCTGGTGCCCAAAAGGTTGGGGACCTCTGTTCTAACCATTGCACCACCACAGCTCCTCCAATATCTTTTTGTTATAGAGATTCTCTGGTATTAGTTTTTTATCTTTGTTGTTTTTAATAAAAAATGTTTTTTTACAAAAAAATACGTATTTAAATTATTTATATTCTTTAATATTTAAATATATAAGGGAAATAGACTTATCTAGTAGAAGCTTCGTTAAGTGAACTGGTATGACTTAGTAAGCATTTTATCTTTTAAAGTTAATAATTTGGGTGATCCAGATTATCATATATTCTCGGATTTTAAACAATTCTAAAATCATTTTATTTTATGCTTTGTAAATAAAAGACCAGTTCTAATGCTCACTTGGAAAATCTTTTTATGAATATTCATAAATTTAATCCAATTTCCAATCACTAACCACCTAACATATATTTCCTGGAGTTTGACTATCAGATAAGTCTTGTAATGTATCTGTTAGCTTTTAAATTTTCACTGGAATTACCTTTGTGTGCTTGAGGTAGTAATTTTTTATGTTTCCTTTAAATCCTTTTCACTTCCAAAATATTCTTTTCTTTGTTTTATTTTATTTCAATATTTACATTTGTCTAGTTCACGGGTGTCAAACTCGGGACGTCACGTGCCGTGTCGCGACATATCATGACTTTTTTCCCATTGCTGCAATGGGGTGAGTGTGGTTTTGGCATGATGTATCTGGCCCGCAGGCCAGCAGTTTGGCACCCTTGGTCTAGTTCACATTAACTGCTCAAAGTAGCTTACAATTAAAGTCTTAAAAAAAATTAAACCTAATTTGTTAGAAACCTGCAACACAGTAAATAAAAATTTTCCAGGGAAACAATTGTTTATAGTACTAACGGACTGTGTGTATGGTAAATATCTTCACAGAGCAACCTTGTAAATATTCCATAAATTTACACGTTTAGCTAGTTTTACCACCTATGTTTATAATTAATCTTTGTTAATGAAGATAAATGCTGGGACACATTAGAAACTATTTGCTCGTTTTTTTGTTTTTTTTAGATCAGACTTATGTGAATGAAGATTGTGATCTAGAGATTTGGTTTGTTTTCATTCTTCAGTTTGTGGGAAATGAAGCACTGTTGATTTCTTTTGCCTATTTTACTTGACCTTCTTCTGTTTTTCACACAACTGCAATGTTGCATCTTGAGAATTCTGAACCATAGAGCAGGCAGAAAATCCTAGTAGTCCAAATTAAGGATTTGCAAGATAGTTTGAATTTGAAGTTTTCGGAGTTTATAAACCCTGTTTGGCCTAAGGACATGGGGTTTTTTTTGGTCGAAATGGATTATTTCTGAAGGGATGTGTGTTTGAAACAGCTTCAAGTTCACAATAAGTATTTTCATATTGATGCTCAGAGCATTCTTAGACTGGACATGAAAACTGTTCTAAATCCAGTTAGAATGTTTTAAACTCAAACTAGCTCAAATTAAACATATTTTTGCTTCCTACTCATCCAGATGATATGGAAAGATTCTTTGAAGCCTTTCCTGAAAAGGAAGATTATCACTTCAGACCCTGTCCCCTGCTGTTGTAATCCAGTTCTCCTTTGCTAATATTGAAGCAGTGAAGAATTATTCCCAATTCTCATGTCAGTGATAAAAGGACCCTCTTTGTAAAAGAGAAGACTAGGACCATCTGCCTCTTCCTCCTTCTCTTCTCCTCCTCTTCCTCCTCCTCACAAAGAAAAGAGGTAAGATAGGGCTGGGACGACTCTTCACTTCTTTCTATGTGATATATAGTTTTGTCTTCAAAACTTCAAACCTTTCTGGGAGCATAGTGGCAAATTACCTGTGAATACAGCTAGGCAAAATATGAAGATAGAGACTGGCTTATTTTGCTTACTTCAGAATGGACGATAGTACTGCTGCTTCAGGTGAAAGCAAGGTCTGTGGACAGTGTGAAAAATGGAGGATTCTCTTTAGATACCCTTTGGATAGTTGGGCTAACCTGGTGTTTATAACATTTTATACAATCTGCACGTAGTCTGTTTTTGGTATTCACTGTCATAGGTTGGCTGCTTGGACAGATTCAAGAAGGAAAGGTCCGTCTACTACTAGTTGTAATGGCTATGTGAAACTATAATCGGAGGCAATCTACTATATGAACGTTGCCATTGCTTTCATGCACTGGTTCCTAAAATTATTTGACTGATCACTTAGGGAAGTAGGATTCTGGATTTTTGATACATCTCAGTTTCTAAGTATGGTGTATTGAAAAAGGAGATGTGAGTTCACAAAAGTGGAAGCATAGAAAATAAATGAGAACTATATTGAAAAAGTTTAACTTTGAAAATTGTACCTGATGATAGTTACAAAAGAATGGAGAAATGAACCTAAGAGAATTGTTTTAACTTTGAAAAAATAGCAGCTATTTTCAGAAATGAGGTCATCCCTGTCTTTCTTTATAGTGTTAGATTTCTTAATAAATTCTGGTTTCTTGGCTTCTTATTTTAGGTCTAAAGTGAAACTAAGGAAAGGTTTACAAAATGATTATGAACTGAAGATATTTTTGTGGGAGGCTATATTAAAATATATGTATATTTAAAAAGAGACCTTACTTCTCCCTCTTAATCATGGCTTGTTTAATGTAGAAGAAAACTTTTTAAACATTTGTGAGAATCTTGAATTGAATAAATTTAATTGACTCTCCACCCCCCAAAAGAGGTTTCTGTTAATTCTCTGGGGAGCAACAGAAGCCCAGTGTGTAAGATGACCAATGCAAGAGGGGGGAAAAACCTTACCAGCAGTAATTATGTAGAAAGGAAAATTTCAGCAAATGACACTATGTTTCCTACTCTTGTTTGATAAAATCAGGAACTTTTTGTCTTTTATTTCACATAAATACAGAAATAGAGATACTTTTCAGTTATATCTACAGTAATATATTAGCATTTGTGCTTAAGCCTTCACCAATAATTTATTACTTTTTTATATTAATTAAGGCTGACAATAGCTTAAAGCACGAAATATAATAGAGTTCTATGTCTTACTTTCAGGGAAATAGATATAAGATTGCAGTTCAATGAATTGATTAATCAATGTTTGCATATAGCTTAGCTTCCCTGCTAGCACAGCCAAGTGCCAGATCTAGCGTGTTCACTAACATGTATCGGCTGCTTCTGAAGTAAACCAGTTTACTGAATGATCAGTCCAATTACTGAGTCCTTAAATTTTGGTCAAAGTAGAAGTATAGGATAACTCTGTTTTTAAATAAGCATAAGCCAGTTTTCTGCTCATAGGATTCCAGGCTGTAGTCCTAAACCCACTTACCAAGTAATAACTCCCATTAAATTAAAAGGGATTTAATTCTGATATTATAAGATTGTTCCACAAGTAAGACTTGCTTAGTTTCACGAAGAAATACTAAGAAGGAACACAGCTATAGCTATTTTGTTTTATTTAAAATATATGTTATCAAAATCAAATCCCAGATAACTTACTATATCTAGTACTATATCCCTTAGTTCTAATTTGCCAATCATTCTCTCAGGCAAAATGATGTCAGGGCATAATGCTATATTTTGTTAAACATATGCAGGGATAGGAATGATGTTAGTTTTAGTACTTTTCTCCTTATTCATATCACCTGATACCATTTCAAATATTGTCCTGCCACAGTTGCCTCTGCTTCAATTCCCCTTATTTGTCTATCTGCCCTCCTCATCTTTGCACTTTGGGATAGCTTCCACTCCACCACTGCTATCCCTGCTGCTCTTAGCTGAACTTTGTTCTTGTTGCTGGCCCAGTATCCAAGTGCTACCCCAGGGTATAGATCTGGGATGTGCATGGCAGAGTGGCAGAGTCTCATCTGCTGAAGGGAACTCGCTGGGCCCAGATGGGGAGGAGGCAGTGGGACAGAACTAGTGGAAGAGACGGGAGGGGCAGGCAGTGGCTTCCCAGACAAAGGAGGCAGCTTCACCAAGCTTTGTTCAGTGGGGACTGATGCCACTTACACAGGGAGCTGCCACCTACATAGCTGCCCTATCCCCTCCGCCAGCTCCATCCCACTGCTTCCTTCCCATCTGAACCTAACAATGTCCCTTCAGCAGAGAAGGCTCCATTGCTCTGCCACACTCATGGATGTCCTGGGGTCACATCTTCACCCAGCCCCTGGATCCTGGGCCAGCAGGAGGAAGAAGACAGCAGACATCAGCCAGAGGGAGGTGGGTGGCAGGAGTAGACAGATGGAGTACAGGGTGGGCAAAAGGACAGAACTTTGATCACATGATTACAAGGTGCTCCAGTAGCCATAACTTCACGGACTGGTCATAAATATCATTCGTTCAGTGCTGTCAGAACTTTGAATGGTCGCTGAACAAATAATTGTTAAGGATTGTCTGTAATTTAAGTCTCTCATTTGTGCCTCAAGTGAGAACTCTGAACAGTACCCTGGGCTGGGTCTGAAGTAGAGGTCTAGGCCTTGACTTCAGCCCTAGTACCATCGCTGCCACTTAAAACAACCACCTTGTGTCGTTCTTCAAGGCACAGTTCTCCCCCATGACCCTAGTGCTCCCCGGAATCTGCATTCCACTTAACTTCAGGTACTGTTGACAGGCCCTTGTAGCCTACTGGAAACTGCTCTAGGTCGCACAAGGCATTAGTTCTTGCAGTGGCTTAGGAGAATGCTTTTCTGCAGCCTCCAAAAACCTCATTCTTGCATGATTTTTGGAGACTCTGGAGTCCATATAAGAAGACAGCCCTCTTATGTGATTTCCAGAGGCCGTGCAAGAGCACACCCCATTATTCTGTGGCCTCCACAGCATCTGAAAATCACATGAAAATGGGGCGTCTTTTCAAGAATATTTGTTGGGTGTTGGTGTACACCAGTGTGTCACCCAAAACATCATGGCATATACCCGTGGGGGCGAACCTATGGCACACGTGCCACAGATGGCACGCAGAGCCCTCTCTGTGGGCACGTGCGCCGTCGCCCCAGTCCTAGGCCTTCAGCTAGGTTTTATAAAACCTTTTTGCTTTAGGCCTCTGCCGCCATGTGCAAAAAAAAAAAAGTTTCAATCAATCAATCAATTTCAACTTCTTGTAGGGGGGAAAAAAAGGATCTTGCAAAGTTGGAATTGATTGATTGAACTTTTTAGTCCCACCCAGTCTGCCGTTACCACCGCAGCCATGCCCACCCAATGGACCATGCCCACCCAGTTGGCCACACTCACCCAATTGGCCACGCCCACCCGAATGATACATAAGTGGGTTTTGGGTTGCAGTTTCGGCACTCGATCTCTAAAAGGTTCGCCATCACTAGCATATACCTTTAACATATATGTCATAGGTTTGCCACCAAAATCCAAAACAAAGAAGTATGTATTTCTTTCCCCTTTTCCTTAAAATACTGAGATCCCTGCTGAATCAGACCAAATCAAACAGAACCACTTCAGGACCAAATCAGTGTTCTGTCTATTGCAATTTCTGTTAACAGTTGTGAGCCCTTCAAGGAAGGGTAGGTTAAGAAACAGGTTGAAGAAGGATTTCTGGAATGTTCCTTTACTTTTTAGGCTATAGTAACAGAATCTGGTTCCTCTGCCCCTTTTATATCAAACAATCTGCATTTTTTTTCTTACTTCTCCTTTCCCAGGACTGACTTTTTTTTACTGTTTCTTAATGTTTTTTGCATTTCTTTGTCAAGGTTATCTTCATGCTCCTCTACACCATCTAGTTCTTAACTAGAAGTTCTTCCTCACTGTTTGTTCTTTAGTAACTGATAGAGCTATAAATGAAAAAAGGGAGAATCTATGTAGCCAATGTAACAAATAGAAACTTCAATTAAATATTTATTTCACACCAAAGTTATTCTTTCCAATTTAGCAAAATGGGGCTAAATTTGGTGGGGAAGGTGAAGCTGATAAAAGAACATTTGAAGTACAAGATGAGCCAGAGCAGTGCAGGGGCTGTGGAGGAAAAATAAACCTGAAAAATTGCCCAATATATCCCTGTGGGGATAGGCAGTTGGCTATCAGCTTGGAATACAGGTAGTCCTCGACTCACAACCCAAATTGAGACCAAAATTAATGTTGCTAAGACATTTGTTAAGCAAATATTGGCCCATTTTATGACCTTTCTTGCCTCAGTTGTTAAGTGCATCATTGCAGTTGTTTAGTTAGTAACACGGTTGTTAAGTAAATCTGGCTTCCCCAATGACTTTGCTTGTCAGAAGGTCACAAAGGTTAATCACATGACCCTGGGACACTGAAACCAACATAAATATGAGTTGTCAGTTTTTATTAGTGCCTAGGGGGATGCTGCAACAGTTATAAGGGTGAAAAATGGTCATAAGTCACTTTTTCAGTGCTTTTTCACTCGAGGACTATCTGCATTCCAGTCTTAAGTTCCCTTTCTGGTCATGTGACCCAGAAAAAGACAGATGCAACTTATCACAACAGGAGGGGAAAGCAGAAACACAATAGGTTATTTCATTGTAAAGAAGAAGACATAGATATGTCTCCCATGACCCCTGCCGGTAAAAAGGTTGGAAACAGTTCCAGAAGTGAGTTGTTTCCCCTACCTTGTCATTTGCAACCCAGCAGAAGGTTGGAAGGAAGTTATGTAAAGGAATATTGGAATCCTGTCTATCAACAACAGGATAACTCAATAAAAAAAGAACACAAGACTAAGTTCAGTATAGCAGGAGAAGCCGGCTAAGGAAAGATCAAGTTGGAAAATGGGCCAGATTCATCGATAGACTGAGGAAAAAACACTGTGGAAAAATACATCTGGAATGTATCCCATGGGAGAGGTAATCAGGTAGCAGCTTGGTATGCTGCAAAATAATGTATTTTAAGCCCCTCCCTTCACTTTCCCAGTCACGTGACCAGAATGGAGCGTATGCAGCCTGCTCTGTGCTTCTCAGTACAGCCATGCACAAAACCAGGGACAATTTGAGAGTGGAAACACATATATTGTATACTGGAGCAGCACAAAAATATCCACTCTGCTCAGACCCTCATTCATGCACACAGTAATACATATGCCCTCTCCAGAGTCTTGTAATTGAAGAAACATTCAAACATTATAAAATATAAACATATATGAATCCCCAATTAGATTCTCACAGATACCGCAGGTGCACATTTTCATTTTTAATTAAATAATTGATTTAATGCAAAGTATAGGAGATTAAATCAGAAGCCAAGTTTTTGTTTTGCTGGATTTTCTGCTTAGTAGCTATTCTTTTTCTTATTATAGCCAGTTGTTGAAGCATGCTTTAGGAACAGTGGTAGATTCATGTACTTTGTTCTTTCACCTTTGTAGCTACCGAGAGGGAGGAGTTTAACCATTTACTCTCTCCTGCTGTTTTGGAGAGTTTCATAGTTTCATTCTGGGTGCATTGTTGCATAATAGAAGACTGTAAGATATTCTTATAATTTAATGCTTTAAATCATGGTGTTATAAAATATAATTAATGAAGATTTGCTTTTGCTTCTGATTGCATTTTGCTGATCCGTTTATCTATCTAATCTTTCTTTTTTTCCCCCAGTAGGTGGATCTCCAGCAGCAGTTCTGGAAAAAAATCAGAGAGGGCCAGGAATCAGAGAAAATCATGGTGAATGTTATTTTTATTTCTGTTTCATTCTGTTGTATGTGTTCATAAAGTTTAACCGTAGTGGTTGAAGAGGATTTGTTTCACAATTGCTTGATCTTTGGTTTCTGTAACAGTATATGACAGATAAGAATATGCTACAGAAAGAGCTAAAATGGAGCTGATCCAAGTTCAAGTGTTGCAGAACTGGGATAGATATAGCATTTTTTAATTAGAATAGGGTTTTTCTAGCTTTTTATTGTTTATTTTTTGTATAATGTGTTGATTCCATATAAAAAGGGATGCTGTTTCTATTCAGAGAATTTACTCTCTGCTAATAAGACAGAGATATGGAAAGAAATTGGGTAGGTGTCAAATGGAACATCCATCCATAGGAAAGTAAAAGGAACTACTCCAGATGTTTAATTCTGTGGGGAAGACCTTTATTTTATATAGTGATTACCAGTACTTTTTCAGAGTTGTACATTTATGATTCTTAAATGATCACTGGAAGAAAATCTCCACATTGTTTTGCTAGTTAGAGTGATGCTAATAGGCTCAGTTCCAGAGCACACACAAAAAATTATAATATGATTTATTTGTTCAAGAATAGTATGTTATGTGAACATGGCAATAGTTATGCTCACCCTCTGTGAAAAAGGTCCCTGATTAATAAGGTGAAATTTTAGATCTGTGGATCTATATGTCTAGATCAAGGACTCTCTATTTAATTACTTAAATAGATAATTATTCCAAGTGACAATAGGAATGGGACAGAAAAACCATTGGAGGATGAATAGTTGGTAAAGGTCTTTTTCTAAATGGAAGTGAAGTTAATCAGCCAAAATAAGCTATGCATAATTCACTGCAGAGAGTCTGTTTCCTTCTCTTTTTTTCAGACAGCAGATTCTCATTTGAAGTAATAGAGAGGGGCAACTAAGTTCTAATTGAAGAAGCTCACTTGAAGTAGAATAGGAAACTTGCAGTAAAGTTCTGGTGATTTTGGATTGGATGGTTTCAAAGTGTGAATAATTAGAATATGTGCAGAGCCATGCCCTGAACAATAGTAGGCTCACTCCATTAGCATTGAAAATTTTAATGATTGCAAGGAACAATATGTTTTCATTGCAGATGGAAACTTAATGACTTCATTGGCAACTTCATGATTAGTTGTACATTTCTCAGTGACCTATCAAAGAACAAACATCTCTGTTCACCCTCTGCCTTGAGTAAAGCTGCATTCTACTTCCCATATTTTGCTTATTGTCATCCCTTGCATCCTTTTAATTTGGCCAAGCGCTTTCCCAGGTTTGCATAACAGATTAATACTTGTGAGTTGACCTTTACTTTTTTTTAATATTTCCCTTTGCATAGAGGAACAGTGACAGCTTTGTTCCAGTCATCAGACCTATATGCTATCTTCATATATGAGCATTAAACAAATGACAAAATCACAGCATAAATAAGCCACCACCATATTTAGCATTTCTTCAATTTAATTATCTACACCTTCAAACTTGCCATTTGGGAGCTTTCTCTCAGGATTTAAAATTTATATAAGTATTTTTCATGGACATGAACATTTCTGGAATTTGTTTCAATCCTGTTCTTTTCCATACAGTTATTGTTCCCATACAGTTCTCTAAAATATTCCTCCCAGCGTTCTTTTAGTTTAATTTCATCCCAAATCATCCCATCATATTTATTTTAAATTCCATTCATTTTGCTTGAAGCTTCTTGTTTAGCTCTTTTCATTCACTTCCAAAATATTTTTTAATTCTAATTAAATGACTTTATAATTTTCTTTCTCTCTTTTGATCTTAACAATTCCTTGATTTTTGACCACGTTCTTTGCAACTTCACATTCTTTACCATTTTCAGCAGTCTATATGTTTTCCTTTTTTTGACAGTTTCTTTCAACTCATTATTCTACTAAACATCCATACTTCCTATTAACATAACTCCACATCCCTTTTGTCCCATTTTTCACAGTTACAATTTTGCAGCATCCCCGTGGTCACGTGATCAAAATTCAGACAATTGACAGTTGACTCATATTTATGACAGTTGCAGTGTTCCGGGGTTATGTGATCACCTTTTGCAACCTTCTGACCAGCCAAGTCAATGGGGAAGCCAGATTCACATAACCACCATGTTACTAACTTAACAACTACAGTGATTCACTTAATAACTGTGGCAAGAAAGGTCATAAAATGGGGCAAAACTCACTTAACAGCTATCTTAACAACAGAAAATTTGGGCTCAGTTGTTGTAAGTTGAGGACTACCTGTAGTACAATGTTTAGAAAAGAGCAGCTTATCCAAGAGTGGAGTAGAAACCAAGTCCTATAATTTTCAATGTTAAGAAAAGAACAGTTAAAACATGATATAATAATTGTGTTGCCTGAAAGTCTGTTATGGATAGAACAAAGTTGTTATTTGTTGATTCCATGTACAAATCCAGAACCATGGAAATTATGGTGAAATTGGGACATTCCTAATATGAGCTAATTGGCAGTTGAACTGAATTCCAAGGTTATAGCCTCTGTCAAACATTGTACCCCCTGAAAAATTACGTTTCTTAACATTTCTTTTTTCTAACAAGGAAAGATTAAGAAAAGGGATGCTGAGAGGAGATAGATGACAGTTGGGAATATGGTGATGGCGATTTCTAGTCATTGGAGGTCAGTTGGGGGTAGGATAGTTGATGATTAATGTGAGAAAAAGTGTAGCACATTTAGCTCAGCTTGAGAGAAAGGTTTTTAAATACAGATTCCCCATTGTCAAAGTATTATCATTGTAGAGAAGGATTAGTGACCAGAATAACAGAGTTGGAAGGGACCTTGGAGGTCTTCTAGCCTATCCCCTGTTCAAGCAGGAAACCCTATAACATTTCAGACAAATAGTTGTCCAGTCTCCAGTGACCAGATAGATAGTTTTGCCTTGTGTGATCAAAGTTCTTTTAGTAAAATCATACTTTTGTATCTTAGATTATACTCATCATTGTCAATCCTTAGATATCATGCATCAGCAAGATAAAGTTATAAAATTTATCCACATTAATTACAAGTGTGAGGGTAGAAAATAAAGAGTATTTCCTTTTTATTTATGGTGGTGGGCTCCATAACTGAAACAGGTGGTGGCAGCTCAGACAAAAAGGGTGATAATGCTGCATTTGGAAAATATCTCTGAGGAGTCTTAACTGTTAAAGGAACCATGGTATCAAGTGTCCAATAGAAGGGGTAAAAAGCCAGAGAAAAGGAGCTGCTACCACCACAGCATTCTGGATTGCTGGTTCTGTATTGAGCAAAAGATTGAACTAGTTGACTGCCAAAATTCCTTCCAACTGTGATTCTATGAATTGTCATGATCTTTGTATTTCATACAAAGCCTACATCAATAACTTTCTCAAGTGAAGATTGTTATATAAACGGTACCCTGCCCACTGTGCATATGCACTGCTGTTCCTGTCATTTTCTTTTAAGCACTGCATAAGTGGGGCATTGGAAGAATTCTGTACCTCTTTTGAGGTCATTTTTCTTTGTCTGAATCATCATTGGATTTCAGAAAAGAAAAAAAAATACCTTAGTTGTCTGTTGGGAATATTGAGATCCCTAACATTGGATCTATTCTTCCTGCTAAGCTCTCAGACTTATGACTTACAGGTAGTCCTTGACCTATTTGAAATTATGACAGTGCTGAATGAATGGTGGTTATGAATGGTCCTTGAAGTTTTGGCAATCCCAGCATTGCTGCAGTCACATGATCATAATTTGGTTGCTTGGCAGCTGTTTCACACTTATGACCAGTTGCAGCATTCCACAATGACATGATCACTATTTGCAATCTTCCTTACCGGCTTCCCCAGAAAGTCAGTGGTTAAGGTTGCATGTCACTAGAGTAAATCTCCCCCACTTGTGCATCATCCCCCAGACCCTTTGTGTTTGCACCATGCTTTTCATGTATCCCCATGCTATACCTCTTGTGCACACCTGCTCATCCCCCCAAAGTCGCCACACCCTTACTCATCCCCTTCACACCACTAGCACCTCATAGGTGGCTGGAGGGAGACCCGAGCAGATGGGCAGAGTGCAGACCACGTCAGGGTAAGTGGTGGGGAGGCAGCAGTGGCGGGATGTATGAAAAAGGGAATCCCCCAGCTGCTGCTGCTGCTTCCCTGGTGCCTGCCCCAGCGTGCTCTGCACTCTGCCCACTGCTTACTTGCTCACCCATCTGCCCAGTTCTCCCTCTGGCCACCTGCAGTAAGTTGTCCCTGTGGCAAATAGGCCATGTGGAGTTGTCCAGTGGCAAGTTGGTAGAGATGAGTTGGCAGTAGCGAGCTGACCGCGGCAAGGTGTCCCATTCCGCAGACAGGACAGATTATCTTGAAAATTTTGGATAGATAGTGACCATATGGATAGATTTTCTTCAAAATGATCTATCCCAGTGGTGGCGAACCTATGGCACGGGTACCAGAGGCGGCACTCAGACCCCTCTCTGTGGGCATGTGCGCCATCGCCCCAGTCCTAGGCCTTCAGTTGGGTTTTATAAAACCTTTTTGCTTTAGGCCTCCGCCACCATGTGCAAAAAAAGAGAAAAAGGTTCAATCAGTCAATTTCAACTTCTCGCGGGGAAAAAAAAGATCTTGCAAAGTTGGAATTGATTTATTGAACTTTTTAGTCCCATTCAGTCTGCCATTTCTACCGCACTCACGCCCACCCAATGGGCCACACCCACCCAATGGGCCACACCCACCTGGCACTCGATGCATAAGTGGATTTTGGGTTGCAGTTTGGGCACTCAGTCTCTACAAGGTTCACCATCATTGATCTATCCTAACTTGCCCTTTCAAGTCCCCCAGTGGTGCACTCATTGCCACCGTAACTGAGTCCATCGCTCTTGTTGGTTGTCCTCTTTCGTTCCCCCTTACATCAGAACAAAACTGCAACTTGCTAAATTGTGTTGGAAGGGTTTATAGATAGTCCTCAACTACAATGGTAGTGAAAAAAGTGACTTATGACTGGT